TCATGGATACGAGTGTGTGTGTGTGTGTAGCCACTAGGCTCTGTGCCGGTTTATAGTTTTTGCTGTGATCACCCTGCAAAAAAATAAAAGGAACAAAAACAAGGCAGAACATCTCCTACTTCCTAACAAGATGATAAACTGTAAAACACATGCCATGGTTGTCCGCACAAGACGTGCACATACATGCTTGATGCGAGTTTGTGTTGCCTCCTCTGCATGCAATGCAGAACCCTAGAATGTTCGCGGGGTACAAACCAAACCCGAACTGCTATTCCTTTCGGGTCTGGAGCTATCTGATCATATACTGCACCTCACCTGGAGTCCTGTGTGGAATGGAAAACGTCCGCTCATGAAGCAACTTCTTGACCTGCACCGATAGTGAATACATGTAGAAATTGAAGTATTCTACAGGCCTGCTCACGAATAGCATTGCTGTACGTGAAAAGGGTAAGGCTAATTCTACATGACTACATTGTAATACATAAGATACATTTGCCTTCGGTCCCCCGGCCATTTCTCCTCCCCCCCCCCCCCCCCCCACACACACACTCCCCTCCCTTCTGCCAATATGCAATGAAAACTCCTTCTGAGAAAGAACAAACAGCATACCAACATACACACTCGTGATAGTCTTCACTCACGGAGAACACAATGGCTGTACGTATGTGCGATTCAGAATGACCCCTTCCCGTGCCAGCGCGTCCAGGTGTGGAGTCTTTATGGCCTCGTTTCCATGGAAGCCTACGTCATTCCAACCTGTGCACACACACATGCACACACACACACACACACACACACACACACACACACACATACTGTAAATATACAAAAATTTTCGGCAGCCATTTAATTTCGGCTATATTCGGCACCGACCCAAAACGCCTAAATTAAAACGCCGATGAAAATTTTCACAGCATCTGTCGCACTATACATGTATACACTATGCCCTCTACCTCACGCCGAAAATAAATCGCCGCCGAAATGTCAAAAATCGCGAAGTGCCGAAATTTTGCAGCGCCGAAATTTTGTATATTTACAGTACGTATATTATACCAAGCACAACGTAAGCACACGGACACACATATGTCCGTGCATTTTATCCATTGCTATTTTGTTTACAGGAAAATGGACCTACAAATTCCTTTCCATTAATGTATACTTGGTTCTAAATCCGTGTCTAACTTTTTTGTTCTTGGGAATACGGAGACTACTACCACCTCTCTACCACAGTGAAAAGCATTTGGAAGAATTCAAGCTCATTTACAGAGGACCTGTGCAAAGAAGTTTAAAAGGATAGTCTCGGAACACAAAGCCAACTGTTCAAACTACTGTAAGACATGTATATTTAACGAGGAAGTAAATCTAACGTTTTAACGGATGACATTTCTTCGTTATAATAAGATCCATTTAGGCCGTATGGCTTCATATAATTATGTTGTGTTTGGATATGGCGGATTACTGCAGGATCGTTAACATATCTTCTCGTTAACCTATGAATTTTCGACAATCGTTAAATTTGCGACTCGTTATAATAACATGTCTTACAGTACACCATACATCAATGAATGTGTTCTTTTCCCTATGCCAATTCAAATCCTCCCCGTCAATGGAATCACATGCAATTCTAGGAGAGAAACCTTGGCGTGTGTCCAAGGCCACGTGCAACGATTTCTGGTCAGCATTGGCTCAGGAAATCCATGACGTGCAAATGTTGTTGCAAAAGCGCGGTGTTGTCTACATGAGAAGAGCTGCTGGATAACCCGCTGTAGCCATTATATGTGTGCATCAGCTTCCTGTACCGATCCTGTATTGCCACAGCATCAGCAAGCAGGTCGGGACGCCTATCCGCAATGGTCTTAAAGGGGAAGTTAAGGCAAAAATTAAAATTTCACCAGTTGTAGTCTTCGGGGTGCTGAGTCGAATGGTCGTGGTCCGAGGAAGCTGAGACGCTCTCTTCCTACTTGAATCCCAATCGAACTCGCGCACTTCCACCGAAACTGGGTGACTGCGCCCTACTAGATGGGGATTTGTATGCAAAATGTCACTAAAAGCGCCATTTCGTTCTTATAAAAGCACGGATGACCGCGTTTGGCCCATATGTTGTAGTCTTTTGGACGCTGAGTCGACTGGTTTTGGTCCGAAAAGGCTGCGATGCGGCGTTCCTCCTTTATTCCCAATCGAACATGGTTGAAGAAGCGGTCACGTGCTCCTGCGTACACCAGTCATCTGGTCACCGTGCCTGCAGGGTACAACTTACTAGCCTGTTTGACCTTTTTTGGGTGCAGTCCTGTCACTCGAGTTGAACTCGAGTTGAACCTTGGTGTGAAAGTTGTCACCTGCTGGCGTGGTGACCAGGTGATTTGGGCACCCAGGAGCACGTGACCGCTTGTTCAACCATGCTCGATTGGGAATAAAGGAGGAACGCTGCATCGCAGCCTTTTCGAACCAAAACCAGTCGACTCAGCGTCCAAAAGACTACAACATATGGGCCAAACGCGGTCATCCGTGCTTTTATAAGAACGAAATGGCGCTTTTAGTGACATTTTGCATACAAATCCCCATCTAGTAGGGCGCAGTCACCCAGTTTCGGTGGAAGTGCGCGAGTTCGATTGGGATTCAAGTAGGAAGGGAGCGTCTCAGCTTCCTCGGACCACGACCATTCGACTCAGCACCCCGAAGACTACGACTGGTGAAATTTTAATTTTTGCCTTAACTTCCCCTTTAACTGGAGCTTAGTGATTGTGTTGATGACATTCAGTGCTGTGGACATGAGTTCAAATTAAAGAGCACCTCCTCAAGTTGTACACCTGGCTCTCTCGATGTTGTGTACCGCCTTTCTAATTCACCTGCTGAATTTCGTTCATCCATCAAGACTTTCTTAGGGTTCCCTGTGAGAAGGCGATGACGCATGTTGGGAATTCCCTAGTAAAATAAGAATAAAAATAAACTAAAAAAAATAATTGTGAGGCTTGGAGCACCCGGCGTAGCATGCCTCCAAGCAGGGAGTCATAAAATACCGATACCCTGGCTCCAAGTGGTCGCCGACCAACCTATTCTGTTATGCTCATTTGAAATAGCTTTCCAGGCACAAGCTAAAGAAAGCGAAAAGCTCCAAGTCCAATTGAGTTCCGAAAGCAGAAGGTAAGGCAATGTTCGAACTAAATTTCCAGTACCGGTAAATGCATTTCCAAACTGACTATGTTTTCTGCTGCGGCTGTCACTGCAGTTGTTCGTTAGCTGGTGAAGTCTGTGTGTGTGTTGGAGGGCTGTGGGGGGGGGGGGGGGGGGGGTGCGTGTGTGTGTGTTGGGGGGGGGGGGGGAGGGAGGGGGTGTCCCATATGGTGCAGTGGTATGTGCAGTCGATTTCCAATCGAGAGGTTGCGGGTTCAATTCCCGGACATTATGGTCGCACACGTCTTTCTTTTCTTTCTCATTCTCCTAGCTCTTCTTTCATTCTCCTGGGTGGTTACCAACAGCCAGTGTATGCCGGCGTATGTGGTGTGGCGTGTATGTGTAAACAAAATGAAAAAAAAGAGAAAAAATGAAAAATAGGGAGTCACTGGCCAAAAAAAACCACTTCAATCAGCTGTGTGGTGGATGCCAGGCTAAAATTAGTGGCGGTCAATTCATTAGCATTGCAAGCTGTGGAGCGGTGTAATCTCAGCATAAGTAATTAGTTGCTATGTGTAACATAGTCTAGATACTCGCTATCATCGCTTCCGGGATGGGCAGGTCTGAGGTCTGAGTGTGTGTGGGGGGGGGGGGGGGGGCTGCGTGGGTGCGGGCATGCACACATGTGTGTGTGTGGCAGAAGCATGTGAATGAGAAAAGAACAATTCTTGCAGAATACTATCCAAATATACTGAGATACCGGTAACTCCCATTTGTTTTCGAGGACATGTCCACAGCGGATCTGATAGGACTGGTAAAATTATTTTTGTTTCTTACTCGTAGTCTACACAAGTGCTTCTCTGCTGATTATTTCTAGTGCTCAAGAACATTCAGATATCAGCACTTCGAACCTTACCCAAGTCATCCGCTGCAATGAAGAGGATGTTGGGCTGATTAGCCGCTTGCGAAGCACCGCAGAGCGCGGCTACGACCAATAGCCCCAACATGATGGTGGCTTTCAATATCGTCAGCAGCCTAATTATTTGTTTGAAATTTTGTTTGAGGAGGGAAGCTCGAACCACAAATGAAGTACATGACTGCACAAGACTTGTTTTAGTGTTCTATTCTGACCGAGGACATGCTATGGTCTTGAATCGCGAACTGTGCCGCGTTCAACTCCTGTCAGTACGGAGCTGTCTTGGTTGACGTCGTCAAGCAATCTGCGGATCTGTGTGTAGATCTACAAATTCAATGAGCTTGTACATGTATGTGCTGCATCCCATCTCGACTTGCTAACGGGCAAGTGCCAGGCCAAGTGCCTGGCATTGGCACAGTGAATCTTCTGCACGACTACGCTCGTACTCGTAGTGATAAACTAACGCACACAAGTCAGGACAGGTAGGGTAGGATAGCGTCAAGGTCTGCGCTGATATGATGTGGAGCCAAGGAGGTGACCTGGTGACCTGCCTGATATTGTCAAGTGTCAGTGTCAGGGACATCGCTACCACGATGGCATCAGCAGCCATGATCACTGGCTGGCACCTCAAAGTTTTCCTGTCTATCAGGAAACTGTGGATAGCCGGACCATTCAATTATTATTTGCCATCTGATCCTATTCACGCTTATAGTAAGTTATACGTTAGAACGGCTACAGCTGAGGTTCATGCAGCAGTTGGCGCAAGAATCCCATCCTATGTAGACTACCCAGTACAGGTACCGGTAAGGCGTCTTTCAGCCTCCAGGTACATTGTGCCAATACCCCTGCGGATTTCCACAAGCAAAGAAGATCTTCACGTTTGTCACATACACACGGTGTGATGCACATGTCCACCGTGACGAATGATCTCACATGCCAGACTCCCGAACAAAGACACAACGAACCTGAGGAGTTCCTAACAAATAATATAATATAACAGCCATTATGGCTCTGCGCCCATAATGGCTCTGCACCCATAATTCATACCCTCCTTGCACTGTGGGTGGGTTCAGCGTGAAGGAGAAAAAAAAGCTTTGGGTGCAACACTTTGAAATCCTCAGTTAAATTTTTCTATAGCAATTATCATAGAAACGTTTCCGTAAAACTCTCAGATTCCATTGCAGCATTGGATGCCCTGATGATGCCCAATGGGCGAAATATTGGCATTAGGAAATCTATTCGATGCAGCTGAGAGCCTGTTAATAGTGTTATGTACGGTGTGCAATGGAGATATTTTCCGAAATTGTCATAGAAATCAGGAAAATGTAGTACTGTTGTACCTTGCTGTGACGCGCTGAGGCATGTGTGGGCCTCTAGCAAATGTTTTGAAGGTTTGCAAAATACCGATGATGACTAGCACACCAAAAATAATAGTATTATTACAGTGCAATGATTCGTTGATATGACGACATCCGCTGTCCATCAGCACCAGCCCGTAGTCCATCAGCACCAGCCCGTAGTCCATCAGCACCAGCCCGTAGTCCATCAGCACCAGCCCATAGTCCACTGCTGTCCATCAGCACCAGCCCGTAGTCCACGCTCCGTTGTACAGTGCTGGGTCGCACTTGGGATCTGGCAGGTGCTTGCTGAACAGGTCATCCACGTACCCTGCCATGTACTCCGCTAGCTGAGCCTCCATCACCTTCACCTGGTCTGGCATAGTGGAGTAGAGATTGTTCTTCTCTAACGGGTCAACTGCAGAAAGAACATCAACGGTCAATAAGCATGTGCAGTAAAATGGGCATACTCCCGTTGCCTCCCCCCCCCCCCCCCCCCCCCTCATCCCCCTAAACATTTCGGCCTAGGTTCAGCATTCACACAATGACCATGAAAGTCACGTAACACCCATCCTATTATACATGTATTCGTCCGTGCCCCCCCCCCCCCACACACACCGCCTGAAGGGGGACCAGCTAACGTTACGCCCCTGTTTAGCATAAAATTAATTACGAAAACTGAAAACAACAAGAGGTATGTTTGTGTCTTTCCCTCAAACTAGTGAAAACAACAAGAGGTATGCCGTAGAATTAACACGTGATCAGAATCCATACTGTATAAGTACAAATTTTCGTTCACGAAATCTTTTGTTAGATCACTCCACCAGCAGGTGTGTTATGTACTAAATTTCGTTTTTGGTCGAGGTCTGTCACCCCTAGCCATTGGCGGACTATGCTCGGCCAATCGTCAAATTATGCTTTTGATTATGCCACAATTATGCCAACAAATATGCGGAATTATGCTCGGTTCCACTATGTATTCACGCTGTACATAGAGGATTGAGAAACCACGCATACACACATGGCCATGCCCTAGGCATAATTTTTGTCTAAACCGAAAGATTATGCCGACCTTACATTTATAATATGCCGGAGCATAATTTTTTGACGAAATCCCAAGATTATGCCAAATATTATGCCGGCATAATCCGCCAAGGGCTAGTCACCCCCAACGTTCAGAAAAATAACTTTAGGTTGGTACAAACGTTAGTTATTTCGTGCCCCCTAACGAATAATAAATATAGCGAAAGTTAATTCCGAACGAAACTTTGTACCTATACAGTAGTATAGAGCAGTGGAGCAAGGCTAGTTCATTGTAACTCAGAGTTCTATGCTCAATGCAATCATCAGCCAACGTACTACGGTCTGCCTCTCCACCATGCAAGCACTCTAAGCGCATTACTTCGAAGCAAATGTATCCTTTCTTGATCTTGAGTGGAATAGTTTGATATCGGCCTTGACATAAAAGTGGCTATTATTTTGTGCCTCAAAGGGAAAAAAACTTAGGGTCTGTTAGATGTATTATGATGGTACAGTCTCTTTTTTTCTTTTTTTTAATGATCATGATTAGGTTGATAACGTCTCTGCAGCGCACACATGCAACTTACCATCCAAGTCAAAGAGCCAGGGTCCAGTCTCCGGCGGTGCTTGTTTTTCAGTCACCAATAGGTAATCCTCCAGAGGGGATTGGTCCGTTGGTACCGGGTACCAGCTGTCTGCAGTGGGCAAGCATACATGTACACCACACACGGACGTCGGAAGGTCATCTAGTGTGGTACGGTCAGCCATGTCAAGTACAATTTACTTGTGGGGGAGGGGTGGCTGAGCGGAACATTTTGGAAATTTAGAGCCCAAATCAGTGCATTATATTGATTCACGGGGTACTTGAGGCAAATAGTGGTACGGTCAATACCGTAGTACCTGTGCCGTGTGCGACGCCCCTGCCACAAGTGCCGGTGGCCAATCCACTGTTTCAGTGCACGTGGACAGCAGAGTCTGCTAAGTGAAGGAGCTACCATCGTACACTTCCTTTGAGCCATAAACACAAAAATTCCACTTTGCCCGAAGCAAACATCTCAGCCTGACCAAAAAACGATCACAGTTCATGTCAGACTTGGTTGCAGGCCGAGTATTCAGAATCGGTACAAATGCCACCACCCTCTAGGATCAATGCCACCACCCTCTAGGATCAAGGAGCAGTTGCAGCTCCTAAAGGGTTGGAAGGTTAGTAGATCAGACCCACCACCAAAGTGGTCAACGACCGAAAATTCCATTCACTGCATCCATGCTTCCCTCGTGCCAGGCCACGAATCATCAGGTTCCCAATTAACTGCGGGTAGCAGCACAGCTGGAAAAAATCTTCCTCGCCCACGTGGGACTTGAACCTGGTACCATCTGTTTCTCAATCATGGTCTCAGACCATCCCACTATGCCTTACCAAGTGCAGGCACATTTCGGTGTGGGACAAGTTAATGTCATGCCCCCCCCCCCCCCCCAAACACACACATACATGCAAACATTAATTTTGTACCAAGAGCGACACAGATAATCATGTTAACACACATCAACACACATGATCTTCACCTCCACAATCCACCCACTCACCCCCATGCACGCGGGTGAGCGCACACACACAAACAAATATGCGCGCGCGCACACACACACACACACACACACACACATACACACACACACTCACACGCACACTTACACACAAACACTCACACACACACACACACACACACACACACACTCACACGCACACTTACACACAAACACTCACACACACACACACACACACACACACACACACACACACACACATTCGCACACTTCTTCAACAAGAGGGACACTCACTTCTCCCGCCAGGATGACCCTTGAGGTACTTGTATTTCCCAACTCTGAAACAAAGCGACAGCAACGTTACAAACTGAGACCAGAACCTCAGCCTGATTCTTTATTAGGAGAATACCACATTCACAAACATTCTATACCTGCAGATTGAGGAAGTATGGTCTGGAATCAAAATGTCACTACTCGCAGTCTTCAGGGTGCTGAGTCGAATGGTCTTGGTGCGAGGAAGCTGAGACGTTCCCTTCCTCCTTTACTCCCAATCGAACCTTCGCACTGTCATGGAAACGGGGTGGCGGCGCCATACTAGATGGAGATTTGTATGCAAAATGTCACCAAATGCATCAGTTTATTGTTATAAAAGCACAGATGAACGAAATTGGCCCATATGCTGTAGTCCTTTGGACGCTGAGTCGACTGGTTTTGGTCCGAGAAGGCTGCGGTGGAGCATTCGGCCCTTATTCCCAATCGAACACGGTTTTAAAAGTAATCGGTCGCGTGCTCATGCGTACACAAGTCACCTGATCACCGTGCCTGCAGGCTGCAACTTACAGCCTGTTGGAGCGCTTTCCTGTCACTCGAGTGGAGCCTCAGTGTGAAAGTTGTAGCCTGCAGGCACGGGAAACTCAGTCACACTGGGTGTCATATGCAAACTTGATCAGTTTGTTGTGCCCATCTACAAAAAAAACCCTCTACAAGGACATAGTGAGAGCAATTCAGTAGCAGTATAACAGATCTTCTTTTGCACAAGCTATGATACACAGACATTACCTGATAGCCGACACATTCCCTGTCTCGTCGATGTTGTACACAAAACCAGTTCTGGGTGACGTCAAGTTGTTCTGCAATGCTGGCCACACGTCCAAACCGTCAATGTCGCTGGCTGAGCAAACAAACGGAATTGATGGTTCTGGGATGAAACTTATCAACTGAGAGATGCACTCTTCATGGCAATCTCTTTTTGCCTTATGATATTCCACCCAACCATCCCCAGTACATGCCCCCCCCCCCCCTCCCCGGGTGTTGATTGAGAACACAGTACATGTGGTGACAGTTTCCCTAGCCTGTGTCCATGCATGGATTGTATTTTACAGCAAACATATGTTTTCAGGGTGCACAGACTCCACTGCAGCCCATCTTGACAATCATGATACTTTCCTGTGCATAGCAATCTGCCACTGAACATGCTTCTTTTATGCAGAAAACACAAGATTTTCTCTCACACTTTGCTTGACTTACTGTCAACCTTGCCACCAGCAATTGACACAACGGTCGGGTACCAGTCAACTGCATGAGTCATCCTGCATGGATGCACAGACAGACACACACACGCACGCGCATGCACATGCACATACGCACCCCCCCCCCCCCCCCCCACACACACACAAACATAAACAAGCAAATCCACACACATAGACGCGTGTGCACTGATCAAATCTGTAAGACAATACTGGCAAGACGGCATATGCGTTATGCGAAACATTCCCACCGGCCCACAATTCCGGGAACAATGTTTTATTTTGCGATTCAGACACTTACCCATTGTAGGTGTACCCAGTCTTGTTCAGCATAAATCCGTGAATGAACGCCGAGCCACGCGTGCCACCCTCCCACACCGTGGCCTTGCTGCCACGCAACGGCCAGTTGTTGGCACCGACCGTGACAGGTCCTCCGTTCTAATACATAGAGGAACATGCACATAGGGCAGTGGAGAGATGTTTTCAATCTCCAAGTGTGCAGTATTTGATAGCAATGTTTAGCCACTAACAAACGGCAATGTTGCCCTTCCCTACTCCCACTTTGATATCAACCTTTTCAGGTGCGTAGCCGTTGGAGATGGTTTGGCAAGAGGGGGTCCGGGGTATCCCCATGAAAATTTTGAAATTCGGGTGCAAAATCCTGCATTATGGGCACTTTTGGCACTGTGTTAGAAAAAAGGGGTCTGGCTGAAGCCAGATCGGCTGTAATGTCCTCGCTTTTAGAAAAGGTACAACCTACATGTACATGCTCTGTAGTAGAAGACAAGCTCAGGATTTGCCCGAAAAAAAGGATAGGCGCAATTAGCACCTTAGTTATCAAAGTGTTGCCCCAAAGGGGATGCCAGTGGGATTGGAAAAAGGGTACGGTTGGCAACACGGCACACTGAGAAACGAGATCATTATTTTATTCTTGCCATGAATGTACTCATAAGCAGTCACCAGAACTTCATTGCGTTCTACATTTAACGGAGACATTTTGTAGCTGCATGTCAACCTTACATGAAATAGATACAGTCATTCCGCACTGTATAAGCAGAACTATTAATTTTATCTGGAATTTAAATTCATCTTTTTCGTCCAAGGAGCTTTTGGATTGAACTAAATGCCGCACTGAGCATCGATTTGTCCAGCTTCTCAACACTCCTATGGACTAATATTTTGACTGGACGAACCCCCTTTCTTTGGAGTTGGACGAAAATAATTGACCGACTAAATTTCCTGCCTGTAAAGTATCCAGGAAAACAGACTGGATTTTCTACATCCACAGGAAAACCACCACCATCAAGTTATAAGGTGCAGATGCAGCTCCTACCCCAGTGAAGTGTATGTATGTGTGTGTGGAGGGGGGGGGGGGGGATTAGACCCATCACAAAGTTGTCAAAGACTTCGACACTTACATCTGTAGTGAAAATCAGCATCGTGTTCTCCCAGAGTCCTTGATCTTTATAGGCCTGTGTGATATTGCCAATAGCTTCATCCATAGCTGTCACCATTGCTACACAAAAAAACATACATTGCATCAGGCCATGCACTTATGCATGAAATTGGTCATTAAAGGAATTTTTCCTCTAAAACTGCCGTGCACAACGAATGCATTATAACCAATTACTGAATGGAAAAATATTTCGAAATATCTACACCATATTCAACGTCGCTGTATGTTTATGCAAACAAAACATACTATAGACCCTACTTCCGGGAGATGGAAGAAAGCACTTGATGAGGTGATTCAGGGTCATCGACCGGTACTGTCCAATTTTACAAGACTAATTTTTGTATTGACAGAAAGTTAGGAGCTGTTTAACATGTTCAACAATATCATGCTACTTCCTGTACCTGAGAGTACACGGCGACTGGAATTCTTGATGTTGTCATACATGTGTACGAAACGATCTGGTGCCTGTCAGAAAATGATCATAGACACATAAGAAGGGATGTACACTCGGAGGGGGTTGAGGTTGCTCGTGACTGCGCTCAATACACCAAGGTGCAGAGCCTAGTACATACACTTGAAACGCTTTTGCGTCCTCTCAAGTGTGTGTAAGAAAGGATGCACAGTGAAACCTGTCTAAGACGACCGCTCAAGGGACCTTCAAAATGTGGTCTCTATTACCAGGTGGTCTCCTTATCCAGGGTCATTTGACTGGAAATAGCATCCCTTGGTCGTGGTTTCAGTGGTCTTCTAGGACAGGTGCGCGATTTATGTGCGCTGATTGCGTGATGGCATGCAATTATGATCATGCTTGCGCCAGCTAGCTAGATGCCTGCGCCGCGCACTGATGTTGAATGAGTTAGCATGCGCCCCGCGCTGTTCATGCATATATGGTACATGGTGTGTAATGTTTGCCGCACACGCGTATAGGTGCCGCGCCTCGTACTGCTCATGTGCCTCGCGCCGTACTATTGCTGTCGCTTTGCCAAATTTAGCTTCCGCTTTCCGAGCGCTGTACGCTCTTCTGTACGCTCATGCCAAAGTTGGACGCACGTTGTGGCTGGCCAGCGCTTTACCCCTCATGCGTTGTTCTTTTCCTTGATGCTGTGGTTTGTTTTCTTTAGTGTTCTAGAGTTCTCTTTCCGATGTAGTTCGTATTTTTCCAGTCTCTTCTTCTCAATGTATTCTACTGTTCATTCATTATAGTCCGTAAAGAATTACGTGACCTTTTGTCTTGTGGCGTCTGTGCGATCCTGGAACTTTTGAGGTGTTAGTAGTGAACACAACATTTTGGCGACCACGCCAGGATAGAGACGCGTGAACATGGATGAGGTAGAAGCGAAGCTGATCGCAAATGGTCAAGCTTATGGCTACACTGGAGAGGCATTGCGTACTTACGTAGAGGCGCGTATCGAGAAGCACGAGGAGAAAGTGCGTGCAGACAGAGAGCGCGACGAACGAGCAGGAAGTAGATTGGAAAGGAAAGATGACGAGCAGCTGCTTGCGAGGATTGCAGATTTGGAGCTGCAAGTCCAGCACGCACGAGAGACTCAGAGTGATGAGAGCACTTTGTTGAATACGACGAATGGCAGTTTAGCGAGCAAGAGGGCTGCCATCAAGATGCCGAAGTTCGACGGTAAGCAGACTGTTGAGACCTATCTCGAACTGTTCGAGGATGTGGCAAAGCAAAATGAGTTCAGCGACGACGAGTACCTGATCCGCTTGCGCGTGGCTGTTGCTGGCAGCAAGTTGGAAGGTGCATGCTATGGCTGCAACACCTTTGCCGAAGCGAAGCGCGAGCTGCTGATGGCGCATGGGAAGACCGCCGACAAAGCGTGGCAAGCCCTGATGGCCATACAGCAGAAAAGTGATGAGAGTTTCTACCAGTTTGTGGTACGAGTGACGCGCGAGACGGAGAAGTGGGCAAAACTCGCCAGGCCTAGCCGTACCTCTAGCCGCGGACAAATCGGTGAGCTGGAAGACACTGAATTGTTCGGATGTGTCGTACGTCAAGTCCTGCTAGAAGCTGTGTCGGCAGAAACTAAGGCCTTCTTGATCGAGAAGAGATGTTACACGAAGGACTTGAAGGCGTTTGCGGAGGATGGTATGGCTTACCAAACAGCCCACGGACGTAGCAAGCTGAAGCCTGCCAAGTCTAGCACCAGCGACAAACGTATACCGTTTGCGTCGGCAGAGTGTTTGACGGTCAGCGTTGATGAGGCTAACAAGAAATTGTCAGCTATGGCGTCTGAGCACCGAAACGCGTACGTCAAGGCAGAGGGACTGTGTTTCAACTGCCTAAGACCAGGACATCGAGTGATGAATTGTCAGAACAAGGGTCGTTGCAAGCACTGCAACAAGCGACACCACAGTCTACTGCACAGAGAGGACAAACAGGTAACATCCGAACCGATAGCCGAATCGAAAGTCGGTACGTATGAATGTAGTGCAAACAGCGTGCACTTGATGACCGGCGTGGCTGAGGTACAAGGACCTAGCCGAAAGGCCAGTGTACGCATATTCATCGACCCAGGTGCGCAGGCATCGTTCATCACCGCGCCACTGGTGAACTCGCTGCAACCGGCACACCTTGGATCGCAAACTGTCAGGCTGAAGGCGTTTGACGTGGAGCCGAAGTTTGAAAAGATGGACAGGTACCGTGTCACCATCAAGGGTGCAACGAAGTCCATTTCCGTCAATGCCTGGCAAAAGAAGTCGCTAGGTCTCCGATTCGATCCGCTAGCAGACAGCACAATTGCACGTTGGCAGTCACAGGGATTGCAGCTGTCTGATGACTCGACAAAGGCCGGATCAAGCGAAGTGCACATGCTGATTGGAGCTGACTACTGCAATGAGTTCCTTCTCCGCAAGGAGCAAATCAATGGAGAGACGGCCTGGCACACTGAAATAGGCTGGGTGCTGTCAGGACCGGCTAATAGTGAAACCAAGTCAGCGACCGTCAGTGTGAGTTGTATTGAACTTGACCGACTGTGGAAGATGGAAGAGGTGCCGGAAATAGCTGAGACGTTACCGGACTTCCCGATAGAGCGGCAAGGCCCTCATTACCAAGTGGGATTGCTATGGCGATCTGAGAAGCGTCCGCCAGCAAACCTCAACCAAGCGATGGCAGCGGCACACTCACTGCTGAAGCCGCTACAGAGACGAGGTCAACGTCCAGCGTATGATGACGTCCTCATCACTGAGTACTTGAAGCTGGATGCCATTGAAAAGGAACCGCATCCGGAGGAAGCCGGCTATTACATGCCGCATCATGCCGTATTCCGTAGCGACGCCTCAACGACGAAGACACGGGTCGTCTTCAATGCATCCGCCGCCTGCACCGAAGCACCATCCCTAAACGACATGGTCGATCCCGGGCCATCACTCCTACCGGATCTCACTGGTATCCTCCTCAGGTTCCGTGAGTATGAATGTGCTGTACAAGCCGATATTCGCAAGGCTTTTTTTATGATCGGAATGCGTGAAGAAGATAGGCCATATCTGCGTTTTGTTTGGCCTGAGATAGGTAGCGAAGAAATGTGTATCTGGCGTTTAAAGAAGCTGCCTTTTGGAGTGAATTGTTCTCCTTTCATACTTAGTGCTGTGCTGCGCTTTCATCTCGATAGTGCATTCGAGTCTGCTTCTGCTGCTGAGCGTGATATCATAGAGCTGCTGCTGCGTAGTTTTTATGTTGATGATTGCGTTTCTAGCTTGCCATGCTGTGCGGATGCTGAAAAGCTGCAGGAGTATAGCGTTAATGTTTTGCAGGGAGCAGGCATGGAGTTGCGGAAGTGGCGAGGGAACACGATGACCTCAGACCCCGAGGCTGGTTCCAAGGCACTGGGTATTGTGTGGAACACCGAGTCAGATTGTATTTCGGTGGCTGCGCTCGGTGATGTCGAGTGTCCCAAGGAAGTGTCTGGTTGGTCTCGTCGTGCTTTGTTGCGTTGTGTTGCCGCTGTGTTCGATCCGCTAGGTTGGGCGTCACCCGCAGTTGTGCCAGGCAAGATGATGTTGCAAGAGAGTTGGAAGCTCGGCGGTGGTTGGGATGACCCATTCCCTATTGATTTGGCTGTCCGATGTGCTTCATGGTGGGGAGAGCTCGCAGCGCTTTCTTCCGTTAAAATCCCCAGATGGATCGGGTGTACTCCAGATGCTCCAGTCACTTTGCATGTATTCTCAGATGCATCCGAGAAGGGCTATGGCTGTTGTTTCTATGTTGTGTCCGGTTTGACGTCTTCTTTGTTGTGTGCGAAGGCGAAGGTTGCACCTGTTGTACGTCCCACTCTTGCGCGTCTGGAATTGTCGGCTGTGTGTCTTGGCGTGAAGATGTTGTCCTTTGTCGTCAATGAATTGAGAGTGCCAATTGAAAGGATTGTGGGGTGGACAGACAGCCTAACCACATGGCACTGGATCTCAAAGCCGTCGTATCACTGGAAGACGTATGTTGCTAATCGAGTTGCTGCAGTGCAAGAAGTTTCGCAGAAGCTGCAAGTAGAATGGCGTCACTGTCCAGGAGTTAGCAACCCTGCAGATCTTGTCTCGCGTGGTGTCCCAGTGTGTGACTTGCAGAAGGAGATGTGGCTGCATGGTCCGTCATGGTTGAGCGATGAGTCTCAGTGGCCACCAGTCATCTCGTTTCAGAGCACCAATGAGTCCGTCACCGAAGCACGCGTGTCGGCTGTGGAGGTTGACACTCCAGTTGTTTGGCCGTGGGAGAAGTTCTCCAAGTGGCAACGAGCTCGCGGTTTGGTCGCAAGTATGCTGTCATGGCGACACAAGGGTGTTTCGCGTGCAGAATTGATTCCATCTGCTGAGTCTGTGATGTTTCGCGCCATCCAAGAGCAATGCTTCCCCAAGGAGTTGTCCCAGTTGCGGAGCAAGGAGCCACTGAAGAAGGGTTCGAAGCTGTTTAAGTTGTCTCCGTTTCTGGATGAAGCTGGTTTGCTCAGAGTTCGTGGTCGTCTGCAGGAGAGCGATCTGTCCTACGAGGTTCAGCATCCGATCATCCTGGGCAGATGTCATCTAAGTGAGTTGTTTCTGCGTGATGCTCACCTTCAGCGAATGCACCAGGGTGTAGAGAGCGTGCTTGCGTTTCTACAACAGCAGTTCTGGATTCTCGGAGCTCGTCGTTTTCTTCGTAGCGTATCGGAGAAGTGCATTGTTTGCCGCAGATTTCGCGCACAGACTGCTGCTGAGGAGATGCCGCCGTTGCCCTCAGACAGGGTGAAGCACCACCAGCCATTCGGTCTCACAGGTATTGATTATGCAGGTCCTTTGTACGTGCGCAGTTCATCAAATGTCCAGAAAGTGTGGGTCGCACTCTTCGTGTGCGGTACTACTCGCGCAGTGCACCTAGAGCTCGTGGATAGCCTGTCGACAGAGGTGTTCCTGCTAGCATTGCGTCGTTTCATCGCCCGTCGTGGGAAGCCGCTGCGTATACGTTCAGATAATGCTACGACGTTCAAGTCCGCCGCAGACAAGGTGGCAATCCCGTGGTTCTTCAATCCGCCATCTGCCCCGTGGCATGGAGGGTTCTATGAGCGTCTGGTGGCATGTGTGAAAGCTCCCTTGAAGAAGGTTCTCGGTCGAGCGTCATTGAGTCGAGACGAGCTGTTCACTGTCTTGACGGAGATCGAGAGAGTCGTCAACTCTCGACCCCTCACTCCGGTTTCTACGGATGTAGCTGACGAGTCGCCGCTGACTCCAGCCATGATGTTGGGAGACATCTTTGCAACCGGTATTGCCTCGTCTGACAGACCACTCGATCCACGGCAGTTGTCCGCTCGAGTCAAGTATGTCCACACCGTCTACGAGCACCTCAACCAGCGTTGGTCGTCTGAGTACCTCATTCGTCTCAGTGAGTATCATCGGTCGAAGTCAACTCCGATTGTCGTGAACGACGTTGTGTTTATTGCCGACGACAACCGGAAGCGGCAATCATGGCGCTTGGGTAGGGTCGCAGAGCTGTATCCTGGAAGAGATGGCAAGTGCAGGGTGGCCAAAGTCCAAGTTGGCCAATCGTCCATGCTACGGCCCATTCAACGCTTGGTTCCGTTGGAAGTAGCGAAGGAGCATGTTGAGCCGCCTGCTGTGGACGCTGAGCCGCAGCCGCAGACATCCGCGAGCGCTGATCCAGTCAACGTCGTCGATGATGTTGAAATACCTTCGACGACCGTTGAGCCGCAAGTTACGCGTCGATCTCGTCGTACCGTTCGACCACCACCTCGTCTTGATTTGTGATCAGTGTGGTTGAAGCCCTTTGGTGGGGAGAATGTTGTGTATCGTGTTGGAGAAAGGTCTTCTGGGGTGTCGTCGAGATCTCGTTGCGACCGTGACTCCTGCTTGTCTCCCTGGCTAGGTGCTGCTTGCTTTGCTTTTTTGCGTAGTGTTTTTGATTATGGTTTACTATTGCGTATTGTTAGTGTTCGTTGTGATTTGGTACAGTACTTGTTACGAGATACGACACATTGTGTAGTGTGTGTTTGCAGCACGAAGAAGACTGCTCACCAGAACGGTTAGCTCAGGAGCTTGGGCTTACCTTGTGCAATCACAGTTCATCAGCTTGGACATTGCGCTTGGTCCCATGCGAATAACCGACTAGAATAGTAATTATTTCTTCGTTGCATTTTTGAATTGTGTTCTTGCTAGCTCGTTGATTTATTTAGTTGATGTGTTGATTTGTGTTTGATTACTTATTTATTTGATGCGCGATTTATGTGCGCTGATTGCGTGATGGCATGCAATTATGATCATGCTTGCGCCAGCTAGCTAGATGCCTGCGCCGCGCACTGATGTTGAATGAGTTAGCATGCGCCCCGCGCTGTTCATGCATATATGGTACATGGTGTGTAATGTTTGCCGCACACGCGTATAGGTGCCGCGCCTCGTACTGCTCATGTGCCTCGCGCCGTACTATTGCTGTCGCTTTGCCAAATTTAGCTTCCGCTTTCCGAGCGCTGTACGCTCTTCTGTACGCTCATGCCAAAGTTGGACGCACGTTGTGGCTGGCCAGCGCTTTACCCCTCATGCGTTGTTCTTTTCCTTGATGCTGTGGTTTGTTTTCTTTAGTGTTCTAGAGTTCTCTTTCCGATGTAGTTCGTATTTTTCCAGTCTCTTCTTCTCAATGTATTCTACTGTTCATTCATTATAGTCCGTAAAGAATTACGTGACCTTTTGTCTTGTGGCGTCTGTGCGATCCTGGAACTTTTGAGGTGTTAGTAGTGAACACAACAATGGATGAAGGTGGAACACAGCATGCTCACCTCCAATGGACCGTGATTTGCTTGGAATGGGAGATAGAGATAGAGAGGTCCATCCTGGGCTTTGTGATTCTTCACGATGTTGACTGCTTCCTTAGCAAATGCATACTGTGTGTGAAAACATGGGTGCAAAAAGAGAACCAAGTATCATCCGCATGAATTGAACAGCTTGGGGAGCTGTATAGGGCTGTTTTCATCTCAATTGAAAACAAACAAACACAAACACAGGACATACACACATGCTCATACACGCATGCACACACACACACACTCACTCACACACACACACACACACACACACACACACACACACACACACACACTCACACACACACACACACACACACACACATAAAAACACACATACGCACATACACATGCACGCGCGCGCACACACACACACACACACACGCACACACACACACAAATACACACATGTGAAACAGACACATGACACACAAACACATACATAACCACATACAACAAAGACTCAGACAACTCCTACTTAGGCGCACCAAGTAATTTCTATGCTCATTCGCGTCACCCCGTGCATACCTTTTCCAATCATTGACAAGAAAAAATTTCTTAGACGAATCAATCGATGGCGGTTCTCAGTGTTCTTGCGAACAATTTCTAGTCTGTATGGCAGAGATTATCAGCTTCTCCATAATTTTGTATTCCAGTTGATGCCTGGAATGATACCTGGAATAGTGCGTAGAAAGTGTGACTGATGAAATGTCTTTCCAAGTTTCCAAGACATCCTGGTAGGGACCAAGCAAGCGGAGATTCTAGGTCTCAAGGACTCCGAGATAATCCAGGATTGCGATGGAGAAGAGCTCCACTTGACTCTTGTCAAAGTGCAGAAGGAACCATTGATGAAATCCGTTGCGGTATCGCTCCAGCCCAGTCTGCCAGCTGTGGCGATCGTGCCTTGTCGTCGTTTTGGGTATTTCATGGCATTTTCAAGTTGTGTCGCCCCGCATTGCACAACTGGCTGAAATGGCGATGCCTTTGCCGTCTTCATGGCTGGGACAGTGAAGCACACAAACGAATCATCTGGGTATGTGTTGACAGTTTATAGTAGTGCTATTTGTTTTTCACCCGCCCGCTTACTTTTTCCAGAATATTTCCGACACAAAACATAGAACATAGCACATAGCACATAAAACTTGGCATGGCCTTACCGTAGAGTAGGTTCCATTTTCATCCAAGGCATTGTTGTATGTATCAACAGTATCCCGGTGGAGATCCAGGCCTATGATGTTCCTATCGCCTGATCAACAAAAATGTCAGCACAAGGAGAACAATAGATGAGGATACAAAGTCATTGCCACCATTACCTGATAACTTTATGTAGAGATGCGTACACGTTTCAGGCGCGTAGCCGGCATTGGGCACAGGGGGAACGTGCAGCCCCGACCCCCTTAAAATAGTTCAACCTAGGTTCAGCATGTACATAATGACTTTGAATAATATGCACCAGCCATCCTACACTTATGCGGCCATGCAAAAGATGGGCACCAGCTACGCCCCGGGCTTTGCAACCTCTAACCGACCCAGAGGATGCTGCTTGCTCATTGACCTTACTGCTAGACCCAGTACATTTGAAAACCTTCAGCAACATTGAATTATTCGAAAGCTGACTCCATAATTGAATTGCATCCTCAAAATATTTTACATGATGTGATAAATCTGTACGAGACAGCTGCAGTGGATCCCGAGAAAACGTCAATGACTGATACGCACTGCAAAAGGGTGCAGCTACAACTAACGGGGCTAAACGAACGAATTCCAGCTTTTCAACCCTATATTCAGAAAGCGTTACTCCTAGAGCCACTGTCAGTGTAATATGACACCATGACCTACAGTAAAACCTGGTGTAAGCGACCTCTGGGTTTAGCGACCACCTGCACTTAATGACCGTTTTTCCATGCACGGACAGTTCTGCACAGACATTGTGGGACCTGATTCTAAAGACCACCTGGCTTTAATGACCGCTTTTGCTTGCACCGTGGGGTGGTCGCTTAAACCAGGTTTCACTGTACCTGTTGGCACAAACCCATGGCGAGAATGTCGAACTGTGAATATTTCACTTCAATCTGGATTCACCGGGGACAGCTAGGAAAAGTTCGAAGTCAAAACCACAAGGAACATTGCCGACGTAGTCTAGGCCATCACTATGAGTTCTAGCAATGAACCGTGCCTGTCATGGGAGAAAATAGCTGCCATCCAGATCGAACTATGGCATAAGACTGTATGCACAATTTTGCAAGTCTCACTGAAAAAGTTGAGATTTTGCCCCGGACTCGTGAAGCTGAGCGTTATTTTGTCCTCATTGTATTATCATTCTCTTCACTGTGTGTATGTGACTTGTGCAGTGTGTTTGAAAGTTATTAACTTTTAGCACCTCAGAGTTGTCCACCTACCTTTACCAAGTTCGTCGTGTCCGCTTTTTGGCACACTTCCACTACGCTGATGTGTATAGTAATCTTCGGCTCCTAGGTAGTAGCCAAAGAACGAGTCAAAGCCGCGCTGGGTCGGTGTGTATTCTTTGTTGCAGAATCCAAGGTGCCACCTGAATCACGTCAAGGCCAAGAACAATGCAAAGTATGAAGCGGGGAAGTTTGTGTGACTATGCTACGAGAGACGGACAGACATGATCCTCAGACTAGTTGTACTTGCTACTGCTGACATGATTTCTGGGTTATATCATTATATGATATCATTATTGGGTCATGTGCTGTCTTTCTTGAATCACATTACATCATCCCTCGTAGGGGTGTAGCTGGCCAACATTTGGGGGGGGGGGGGCTGGATGGTCGAAGTATTTTTAGAACCGTTTGTACTAACCACAGTAGAGGGGACGGTTTCAAATAGGACACCGGTTGCAAACCGGAACGGACTCAATATTCACTTTCTCTCTTGGTATTTTGATTAGAAAACATATGTCACAGTGAGACTACGATGTGTTATACTCCGAGCCAAAATTTCATGGCTCTGCGATGACCAGAAGCGCCATACCAAGCAGGTGAGTTTTTGACGTGTTGCTTTGCACTGCGACTTGAGTTTTACGACTTTCGAAAAATCAACTTCTTGTCGCAGGTAAACAGTGGCTCGCCTCTCGCCAATAAAGCACCGCATACCAATCAAAACTAATGGAAGCACACACAAGGCTTATTGTTACTCTGTACTGGCCGTCGTGGAGCGATAGCAATTACCTAATTTCAGACCCAGAGTGAATTTGACGTGCACTCTAAAACGTGTCCGGTTTGGAGCCACCTCTGATTTGAACTTTTTTGAAGCGAAAAATTGGACAACTTGGAGGCAATGGGTCAACACAAAGGAGTGGCTCAGTTCGATTGACTCTGGCCCCAGAGCAAACTTCAACATGCCAGTTTCCTTCCACAAACATATTTCGAGTGAAAAATCAACGCTGATGATCGGTTTGGGTCTATACAAATTTGGCTGTCAAAGCGTCCCGGTATCGAGCCGTCCCCTCTACACGTACTGTGTTTGATATTGGACCGATATACAACAAAACTCCTACAGCTAAGGTTAGCTAAAAGCACAGGGGGAAGTTTCAAATTGCCACATTACTCTATCTTGACAGCAAAATAATACTGAACTGCACTCTCTAGGCCATTTGGCCCGCACATACGCATCATGCGGCTAAATGATGCATGGACGATCCCCCTTGCAGGCTACGCGCATGCCTCGATCACATGAGATCATTTCCCGGTTCACATGGCAAATGACGTGCATAATCGATCCGTGTGCAGACTTGAGGGTCATAATATTACTTTATAAAAACTGGGTGATATGTACAGAATTACTGGTGTTGGAAGAGTGGATTATTCTCCGGAAAATACCGTGCTTACTTTCCAATGATGTGAGTGGAGTAGCCGAGCTCTTTCAGATGTTGAGCAGTGGTAGTGATGGTGAGATTGAGGCCGTACGCCCGTTCCGGCTTGATGACGGCATGCTGCAAAGAGAACATATTCCAGCATCATACTTCAAAGTACACAAATTCACTCCGGGCCGAGGTAGAAGCAGACAACCTTGTTTTACCAATAGCTACAGTCTAGATACCTGCTCACTGATAACATAATTATAAGACTCTAAGTGGGTGGATTTGGCTCCTCTGAAATATTATCGAACTTTAGAGCCCAAATCAGTGCATTTTATCGATTTACAGGGTACCTGGAACAAAGAGTAGTGCGGTCAATACCATAGTGACCGTAGCATGTACGATGTCCCTTGGGTATATTGTTATGATAGCTTTACAAGATCTGTGGTCATCACTTTCCTTCTGTAGTGACGAGTAGGTTGTGCACTTAGCAAAAAAAAGTAACGAAACCTTGTAGTATACTTCGTTTGCAGTGCTAAGGATCCTAGTGCCTGCACACATGTTACCTGCAGTCCGGTGTGGAAGGGAAAGCGGCCGCTCATGAAACAACTTCTTGTTCTGTGCAGATAATTGTGCAAAGCACACAGTGGACGTCAGCACAACAAAGAAACGGGGGATATTGCGCCTGGCATAGAAGGTTGCCACATGTCACCGTTAATTTACACGCACTTTACTCACGGTGAGCAGACCGGCTGAACATAGGTGTGGTTGAGAATGACACCTTCATGAGCCAGTGCGTCCAGGTTTGGTGTCTTGATGGCTTCGTTACCGTGAAATCCAACATCATTCCAGCCTGGATAACAGCACAGGGAATGTTTCGTCAATGTCAGCTTTGGATGTCCGGCACACACTAGATCAAATCTCCACCCCCCCCCCCCCCCCCCCCCCCCCTCCAGCAATGGACATAGGTGTAATCAAGATTAGAATGCTAGAAGTAGCACTTTGCAAGGGTTATGAGTGAAAGTGTATGCGTGTGCGTATCTTTCAGATGATTCCAAGGTGATCTGTGTGTACCTCAGTGGTGATTTCAGAGACTCCATTGCCTGGACAGATATGTGTTCTGTTTGCTCGCCACCCAGCATGGCGCTTCGAAGCAGAATAGAACCAGATGTGGGTTCCTGCGGGCCAATAAGAGCCGACATCTCTCCAGCCTAGGTCAATTGGTGAATAGCACCATCGAGTACTGTATGGGCCTCAGTACGATGTAAAGTAAAGTAATGTTCACACATCCGCGCTACCACCGGCTTACAAATGTGTTGAGAAACACAATCAGCTTAGAGAAGTTTCGCTTGTGCCAGGCCCCCACCATGCCTGACTATACCAGGGTGGCAGATGCAGTGCCATAAACGGCGAGGGTGAGGTAGTACTGGTGAGTCTCACGACCATGGGCGAACTTCGTTTAGCTGCATCTATGTTACCCTCACTCCGAGTAGTGAGTACCCAGTTGACTGTGGCCTTGGTGTTGGGTGTCGGCACAGTTAATTGCATGTAAAGTGGTGGACGCATGCATGACCATATTTATTTTGTTAGCACAGTACATGCTCCCCGCTTCCAGCGCGTGTCTTGAACTCGGGACCTTGTGATTCGCAGGCAATCCCACGACCACACAGGGTGAAAGCGCTGGTACTAAGGGTGTGTTCGAATTGTCACTCTTTGACTTTTCGCGGAGTTTATTTTTGAAGAGGTGGCTTATTGGCTTCTTCAGAAAACAAAAGTATTCTCGAAACTCTTCGAAACTCCATAACCTCATCCGATGGGAGAGGTGGATTAGTGCGAAGAGTTTGGAATATTCCCACGGAGATGGTCGATCGGTTCGGACGTCATTATCGCCAGGACAATTCCACTGAAAAACTCTAAAATGATAGAAACCCTTGTATGAGGACACTTCAACTAATCTCTTTTTAAGAATTTGTTCGAAACGTTGATGAAGTGACAGCCCGATCCCAGTACATGCGATGCAGGCAATTTATTCATTCAAAGGCGGCTGAGAATGTTTGGAGTTCATTTCCCTCAAACTGCATTTCTGGCCCTCGTCAACATAAGGATAACTAACGTGCCTGCTAACGTTTCATCACAAGTTTTTACAATTGCGTTAGCGTCCGCTCCTTACCCATATCATCTGAAGCGATGAAAAGAATGTGTGGCTGTGCTGCCGCGTGCACGCCGCTGCAACCCGCGATCACCAACAGGGCAAAGGTCACGACAGCAGCAGCCATGGTGCCAAAGGTTCGCGAGGAAGAAACCCACGAAGAAGCTTGCAACATGAAGCTTTCGCTAAGAACCCAGCTACTCACGAGTCCAGGGGAAAGCTGTTCCAACTGGATTCTGAAATTCGAAAGATGACTCGGCTGATGCAATGGCCAATGCTGAAGCTGAAGTAAAGCTAGGTGGTCACTTCTAAGTTCTAGATCAACATGACAATCTATGGAGTTGACCCGTAACAGTAACTGACAACTCACGATGTTCCACCTACCTGCATGACCTTGTACAGTCATGTATGCCAGTATGGCAATGGTGAAGAGGCCAAAAGGGACGTGCAGATCACGCGATACCGCTGATGTCTACAGAATCAACGGTATCGCGTGATCTGTACGTCCCTGTTCGCCTCTTCACCATTGGCATTGCGATAGATAGAATCTCTCATAACTAATTTCTTCACTGAAGGACCTCATAATCATAGTCATTCTGTGCTACAAAATCAAAAATAGACTGTCACAAATTTACAAAACTGTGTTGTGAAATCGTACTCCAAGAGGAGTAGCGCTGAAAACCTTCCCTATCTGCTTGGACCCCCGAGCACCCAATGGTTCAGGAGCATGGCCTGTGAGAGGTTGAACTTCGTGCTGTTTGTGGTCGCAGTGTTTGGACATGGCGTAACGCTGGCGGCCAGTCCACCTCACATCCTCTTCGTGGCTGCTGATGACCTCGGTAAGTGGCCCTACGAGCGCTTGTTTCCGCGATGGTTCGATTCGATTGCCCAAGCAGTAGGTGTAGGTGCAATAGCGCTAGCTGACAAATTCACACACCGTTAGTGAATCGCTCGACGGTCCCGGATATTGCGAGTACTTTCTGAGCTATTTTATCCATTGATTGGGACTTCAATTAATTATTTGGGTCCGTTCCAAACCGCTGACTGTTCCACCCAGGAAAGGTCTGGAGAGAACTGGCTTATGCAGTGCTGCCAAATAATTTTCGGCCAAAATCGGACACCCTTCACAGTTCACCGCCAAGGCTGGCCACATGGTGCGAGTTTTTCTCCTCGGCAATTTTTTTACAGAGAATTCAAAATATCGCCTAAAACACCATGAAAATTCGCTTCGTTGCCATGGTAACCCCGGAGTTGTCATGAATTTTGTAATGATGAGTGTGGTCGCACACTGACTCTGTACACCATGGTACACACTGTCAGCGTACATGCCATCCAGACTGATCCAGACATGTTACTTTGCACTTCCACAGCCAAGCGCTAGCCTTTTTAGAGGCAAATGTAGTGATTCATGCCTTCAGTTGCGCTGAAAAGTGAAAGTACAGGAGTTCTGCATAGGAAAGTAATGATTTCCGACATTTTGGCTGCTTTTCGGACGTTTCCCTTTTCGGACCGGTTTTCGGAAGAGCCTTCAAAAATCGGACGGTTTGGCAGCACTGCTCATGTTGGAAATAAGCTGGGTTTAGGGTATAGGGCATAGATAGAGGTTGGTGCGAGTGGCGATATCCTGGGTCTTCCAAGGTATTCAAAAAAGAATTTCTCTTGCCTTCTCCAGGCTGGAATGATGTTGGATTTCACGGTAACGATGCCATCAAGACGCCAAACCTCGACGCACTGGCTCATGAAGGTGTCATTCTCAACCACACCTATGTTCAGCCGGTCTGCTCACCGTGAGTAGCAATGTGACGGCAGAAACAAGATAACAGTGCAAGAGTTCCATTTGAATTCCTTAGCAAAAGTAGAAATTTTAATGAAAGTTGGGATTTCCAGTATAATATTTTGGAAATAACAACATGCATTTTACACTCTTTTGAAATACCAAGAGTACAGGACCCTGAAGAGTTGTCAACTACCTGCACAACCTCTATCCACTGCAGTGACAGCAGAGCTTCACATTACCTGATCACGGACATGGTTCAATAATCGAAACTGTGCAAAGTGGCCAGCAGAGAGTGAACCCAAAGTAGGTGTTCATACACCCCTGTGAGGTTATCTATCATGCACACGGTGCAAGTAATGTGTACGGCTTTGTCACGTTAGGTGAAGTTCTGCCGTCGCAGAGGTGTGTACCCTTAGGAATGCAAAATGTACTCGTATCCTTAGAATCATATCGGTGACACTCTGTATGCGCTCAGTTTCTTCTAAGGAGGTCATCTTACAGTTTCCGGTGCTTGGCAATTCGAACTTATGCTCTATCGGTGGTATACATGTACTGTAGCGGACATGGAAATCCAGTCGATTGACCGGGGCCGGCGCCCCCAGCGCGTTCAGAACACTGCGTGCACTGCACAAAGTCATGTTGATCCGCGATGCGACCAGCGTGCTGCATGGTCTGCATGTTCCGCTTATCCACGGCCGCATGGCCAGCGCCCTGGGGCCGCTAGACGTGCGACCGGATTTCCATGTCCACGACATTACCCTCGAGGCTGAGACTCCACAGAGATCGCGCTTCCCTCCACAGAGATCGCGCTTCCACAGTTTGAAGTTTTCCTTTTTTTCACCCTTTGCTGTGTACAGCACAAGAAGCTGCTTCATGAGTGGACGCTTTCCCTTCCATACAGGTCTACAGGTGAGTTGTGGCTGACCGAAATAATGCTGTTCTTTATGAACTGTTGATGTGCTTCCTCGCTCATGTCACGGCTAGTTTTCTAGGTCATGAGGATCGAGGAGGGTAACTTGATTTGAACGTATTGGGATTTTGTATTTTTTGGTCGTGAATTTCCACCATTGTTTTTAGCCTTAAGAGTAGCAGCAGACAGGTGATTGTCGAGATCTACGACTCATGGTCTGAATTCAACTTAGCTGTAAATTTCTATTTGTCTTCTGATCTCCTTTCCACAGCATTCTGTCATCCAGCCAGAGCGTGCATACGGGCTCAACCTCAGTATCACCACAACGGCACAGCAACTCAAGTCTCTAGGGTATTCTACTCACATCATTGGCAAGTGAGTTTGCACTTTGTGCGTGTGTGTATGTGTGTGTGAAAAATAGGGATTCACTGGCCAGAAAAAAGCCACTTCAATCAGCTGTGTGGTGGATACCAGGCTAAAATTAGTGGCGGTCAATTCATCAGCCTTGCAAGCTGTTGAATGGTGTAATCCAAGCACAAGTTGCTATGTCTAACATAGCTGTTCGCTATCATCGCTTCCGCGATGGGCAGGTCTGAGGTATGTGTGTGTGTGTGTGTGTGTGTGTGTATGTGTGTGCGTGTGTGAGTGCGCGCGTGTGTGTGCGTCATTTCATGAGCGTAAATAGGAGAGATTGAGTATCTCCGAACTTCACTCCAAGTGCAATTCGATTGTTCTTACAGCTCTTAGGCCAGTCAGTGTCTTCTCCACATTCAGGAAAATGATGATATGGCTACATTGACAAATGACTATTTTGAACAAGGAAATGATGGAAACAAGGGATGCACTCTAAAAAAAATTTTTTTTAACAGACGCACACAACTGCACATGACGAACTAATGATGAAGACTAACTTTCAAGTTAACTGCAGCACAGGGCTGCGCCAATTACATGTACACACGGCGTGAAAAATATGGCGTACAGCCACACTGCATCCTCACACTGCATGTGCATTCCTGCTCGATCATCTGGTTCACGATTCAGGTGGCACCTTGGATTCTGCAACAAAGAGTACACGCCGACCCAGCGTGGTTTTGACTCGTTCTTTGGCTACTACCTGGGAGCTGAGGACTACTACACACACAGGCGAAGCGGCAGTGTACCAAGCAACTCACAGAACAAAAGTAAGCCATATCCACACGTAGAGTACGCAGGTAAAGAAGTTGGCAGAGGTTTAGGTGCAACGTTTGGAGCTACATGTATGATGCAAAATGGGATGCTCGCAAAAGACATTCACCTAAATTCTCTTTCGTGGAGACGGGAAAAGTAGAGTCAATACGAATGCATAAGTTAAGTGTGTGGTTAACAATGTTCATACGCGGAGCTGTAGTATAGAATCCTGTGGATCCTAACACAGACGTCCAAGAGTTCTGCCCCAAGTGCTCGTCCCTGTTCCAGCGGTGTATCAGGACCGACGGAACGCGGCAGTTTTTGATTGGTCCGACCATACCCTAGTCTTTCATACGTTGTGAATGATATGTAGGGTAGACACATGATCTCCTTAGCAGTAAACACATGTCGGTGACCTAAAAGTTGGTCCGGCCATGGCCTGACCGACCAGACCGGTTCCACCGGGCCTGTGTAAGTTGCCTTCTTTGTTGTGTGAATCCATTAGACCTAGATTACTCCCATGTTTCTCTGTTATGCTGTGGAACGCTTTTACTCAAAGTCCGATTGTTCCCCTACCCTGTTATGGGAAATGGTGGTAAAAACGAGCCGGGCAAAATGGCGGAATAATATGTTACATGCGTGCCAACACGGTGCTCTCTAGAAAACTCATTCTCTAACTACTATCGTCAGTTTTCACCCAGCACCTGGCACAACCATTTCTCTGCTTCAAATGCTGCTGCATTGGAGTCGTCCACACCATTCTACTGTAGGAGTGCAGCGTTCTTGCCTGAGGATGCATCGTGTCATGTCCTGCTGCGCTGTACATGTATATGTAGAAGATGTGAACATTGATGGCTTGGACTTCCACCGTGACACAGCGGACAGTTATAGTAATGTTGTGAACGACAATGGAACATACTCCGCTGTAAGTCAATCTAGGTTTTATAGGGTTCCAGGTAATGAGAAGCTGCATTAAACAAACAAAACTTTGTTGTTATTCCTGATTGATTACATCATTGTATTATGACAAACATGCAGATCAGAAAATACCAGTATTTCTAGCACGAATCTCATCATTCTTTTGATGAACAACACGTCCTGCTTGCATTTGCATAACCTACTTGCATAGTATCACTGGCACACTCAGTGCTACAATCCCTTCCCGAACTTTAAATTCTTAGTCACCTCTAGTGGGACCATTGTTATTAGGCTAGGGCCTGTTTTGGACTTCCCACTCTAAATAAAGAATACAAACAAACAAACAAACAAACCTCTAATTTTCTGGTTGTGCTGCTGTTGCTTGTATGGTGTGAACAGTATGCATTTGCTGCGGAGGCAATCAACATCGCGAAGGGTCATAATGCGACCAGCGGTCCGCTCTATCTCTACCTGCCTTTCCAATCAGTGCATGGACCACTTCAGGTAAACCCATCATCAGACTAACATAGGCTACCACTGAAGGCCGTCACAGCCGGGGCGGCTGAAGCCTCCCCACTTTTGAGGGTGATGTTTTTTTTTTGGTGGACACTGCAACAAAGTGTGCTGATCACATGCATAAACGTGGCGCGAATAATGAAGAATTCGTGTCCCCGATTGCAGTACATTCTTGACTTTTTGCAGAATCAAATTAATGGTCTTTCAAGCATTTTAGTACCCTGAAATGGTACCGAATGCTCTGAAATGTGCTTACAATTATTGGCTTCAATTTTTGAAATTTTTCCTGGGACAGAACCCCGACCCCCTCCCCTTCCATGGCCGTCTCACCTCCAAAGTCGGTGCGACGGGTCTGCCACTATCATGTTTTAATACACAGTGAGCATTGCCAATATTGACCCTCAACCATGCATGGAAACACAAACAGTGACAGTGTGCAGTGGAATTGTCACTACAGTACTATCGGGCGCTGGAGAACCGAGTGCCAACGAATGAACAAGCTAGTATATCACCAAGCACAGCATACTAATTTATACTGTAAGTAAACAAATATTCGGCGCATATTTATTTTCGGCTATTTTCGGCCAGGTCACGTTTGGCCGAAAGTTTGTTGCGACCGAAATTTTCTTTTGCGAGGTTCATTGTGACAGTGTTTACAGGCCGAGTATTCAATGCAGCCGAAATGTGTTTTAGCCCTGGGAGGCCGAAATTGAATGGGCCGAAAATTTTATAGACTGACAGTACCCAGTGATGAAGCAACTGTGCTTAAGCTGTATACAATAGTACTTCAAAGTACATCATAATAAGAACGGTCTAGGCTACTAGGTGTTCGTTTTAAGCCCCAGTCTCCGTGCCAATCTGTGTTGGCACTTGCCTTTGGTTATTGCAATGTCTATGGCAGGCCCCGCAGAGATTCGTGGACATGTACAGCCATATCAAGGACAAGAAGAGACGCACATTTTCAGGTATGCTCCCGCTCCCACCCACGAAAATAACTTCATATTCAGAGTGTGTTGCTCCAAACTGTGCAATCGAGCTATTTACGGAATGTCCCTCAAAGTTGCAGCGCAAATTGCAATTCAGTTAGGACGTAATAAGAACACGTGTCCCCTAATTTGTTCAGGAGGGGTGACTGCCCCAGGTCCAGTTCTAGTTCTTTCATGGAGTTTGTAAGAGAATGAAGACAGTCATATCGGGTGTGCTCAAATATTCCAGAGTTGTTCAAGTTCCCTTCGTGTGTTCCAACCTACAGCAATGGTGACAGCTATGGATGAAGCTATCGGTAATATAACGCAGACCTACAAGGATCAAGGACTCTGGGAGAACACAATGATGATTTTCACCACGGATGTAAGTTTTCTTGGAGGGGTGATGTTAAAGTCGTGCGGATTGGCCCAAAATTGCCTTTTTCGCTGTGGAAGACTAAGTTGCATTAACGTCATGCATGACCGAATCTGCCGTAACTTCGTACAGCCAAGCCCACAGGATGCCGTAAATCAACAAATATTCGCCGCGAATCTATTTTCGGCTTGACGCTTTGACTGTTTGAGGCCTAAAATGTGTTGCAGTTGAAATTTTGAGTTTCATGATACTGTACAACAAGATTCTCCAGGCAGGACAGGCAGGACAGGCAGGACAGGCAGGACAGGCAGGACAGGCAGGACAGGCAGGAGCTGTATACTTGTAAACACCTCCTTTCCCCGAACAGACTCACAGCTGCACAAAAAGAAGAATAGAGTACTGCCAATATTTTGCCCATTGGGCATCATGAGGGCTATGATGAGGAGGGGGGGGGGGGGGGGGAGGGGGCACGCATGAACTAAATTGAATACAGACTTAAAGGAATGTTCTAGAATTGGCAAGAAAACCAAACACTCCTCACTTGAAAGGTGACGAAGCAGACAAGCAAAAGAAGGAGCTATACAGTCTGAAATTTGATGTGGCCCAAAAATGATTTTGGTCTGTGGAGGCTGAAATTAAAACGCGCTGAAACATGTGTAGACTTAGTAGTAGTAAGTTACGGTACATAGACCAAGCGCAACCGCCGGTGCCGTTCAAGAGGGGGTTCCCGGGGGCCTCCCCCGTGAAAATTTCCAAAAAATGAAGCAAAATCCTGCATTTTGAGCGAAAAAGGGGGTTCCGGGCACCCAGGAACCCATACGGGGCACGCGCCTGTAGACTATTCACCTCATAACATGCCATTGCAGTCATGTACATTGAGAGCTTTGGGCTTCCATGTGGCATGCACGTATTTCTCAGACTGAATAGAACCTTTGGGGTATATGTGTGTCTTGCTCGGCGTGTTCCACCCTGTACCTGTGAGTATGGACACCTGACTGTGCATGGTGAACTCAGTGCAGCCAAGTCAATACATAAAAATAATGATAAAGACGTGCATCTGAAAAAAGGCAGTTATGTGCAACTGGTTTAGAAGGCGAGCTCCTGGGCAAATGTGGCATGTGTGTACCCATATGCAGAATGGAGGACCGACAACAGTGGGAGCTAACAACTGGCCACTGCGCGGCGGAAAGCACACAGTGTGGGAAGGAGGCACGCGTGGCTCGGCGTTCATCCACGGATTTATGCTGAACAAGACCGGGTATACTTATAACGGGTGAGTCGGACGATGATGAACTTGTCTAATCACTCACAGACTCCAGTGCAGCCATTTACACATTTAAACAAAATAGTTGAAAATACACATTACTCATTAGGATACCTCAAAGATGCAGTGAATGGAACTATCGGTCTTTGACCACTTGCTGGTGAGCTGATCTGCTCACCTCCCACCGCTTTAGGAGCTGCATCTGCGCCTTAATCCTTGAAGGGTGGTGGTGTTCCTACAGATGCTGAAAACTCGGCCTCTAGCCGAGTCTGACGTGAACGGTGAATTTTTCACCTCAACTCAAACACTCAAAATACGGGTTTTTTGCTGCATACGTCATCAATTCTCACCATTTTTGTTCGGGCATGGCCCATTCTCAGGGTGAAAACAGAGAACGGGTGTATCATGCATCTGGTATTGAGGATAGTGCCATCAAATCAACATTCCCGAAAGTGAACCGTGAATGATGAGCTGCATGCTGTTGATCAATCTGAGTCATAATAATAACTCCTGCATCCATGTTGCAATGAGAACATTGTATTGGTAGTTTATAAGAGTGTTGTTGTGAGGAATGCAATCATGCACATGTACTCGTACTACTTGACTAGTGTGCCGTGCCCGAGGCTATATAGGCAGCCTTATCACATTGCGACTATCACTAATTTAATGCCCATTGTGAGAGCGTGTCCGAGTTTGGGAGGAGAATACAGTCCGCAAGTTTTGCAGTGTTGAAGGCATGGGAACAGCAAACACACAGGTCATAACACACGTGCAGCGAAAGAAGGGCAAAATTATCTAGCTGATCTAGCTGAGGCTTTGAGTTTCATGCATTATTAAAATGATTGCAGAAAAAAAGCTTTTTCCACCAAGAGTGGTACAAACAAAAGTTTACAATGTTGTTTCAGGCGTTTCGTTGTTCTGAATAGCATCGCCAGTGGATAGAGTGTGATGATCAGAGAGGATGCTGAGCATAATACTGTGCTACCGCAGTAATGCGCCACAATAGTGCTGTGCTGCCATGATCTACTGTGTTAGCATCATACTGTGCCAGCGTAAAACTATGCCAATGTCATGTTGTGTGTACCGTGTAGAGTTACCCATTCTGTGGACTGGTATCCAACAGTGGTCTCCATTGCTGGTGGCAAAGTTGATGGTAAGGAATGATTTTGCTGCAATATTGAATTGCAGTGCTTCCTATAATGGTGGACGAAGTTTTGGTTTTAGGGTGAAGTTCACATTTTTAAGCCCTTTTGTTTAGAAATTTTCTAGTGAAACACCATTGCAATAATTATCATGAAGACGAACCTGCTTGAGAATATTGTATCACCGGTATATGATACAATATCATGTGCATGTTAGTTTCTTCCGATGATTTTCTGATCAGGAAGTCTCCAACGTAAGCTTTGTGTCTGAGTTGCTTGCCAGTGTGCCGGCTGCTGATAATGCATGCATTCACATGAACAGGCGCATATACATATGCATGCCATTCGCTGCCAGGCCTGCGATTGTCTGAGCCGATGTGTCTGTGTGCCTGCATGATTTGTGCATCCACATGCAGTTAGCGACATTGACGGCCTGGACGTGTGGCCAGCCTTGCAGAACAACTTGACTTCACCCAGAACTGGTTTTGTGTACAACATCGACAAGACTGGCAATGTATCTGCTATCAGGTATGAAGCAAACATCAAGCAATTATTATCAACATGTATGGATTGGCAGAATTGTTTTTGAAAGAATTTCACAGAGGGAATAACTAACTTTGAGTATCAAAGCATAGAAATTTGTCAATGAATAATGCACCCGCCCGCTATTTCCAAAGCTAAAATGTGGGATTTGCATAGAAAAGCCTAGTTAGCCCTGGCACACTCGCAATATTGGCAGTATTGCTGTGGCTGTCCCTGCACGATTTACAAGCTCGCAAAATCTTACGGACATTCCTTTATGGTGTCATATCGGAAGACATGTCTTCTTCCAGCTCTTGAGCTGTCGAGATGTGAAGGAGCGTTCCTTTGCAGTTGATTTCTTGATGTTTCATAATGCAGTTTTAGCGCGCATGTGCCTGCACGTGTGCATGTGCGGAGGTGTGCCCGCAGGCCTGGGTGTGTGCCTGTCGGCCTGGGCTAATTGCCAATTACTATCATGCTATTGTGCTCAATACCTTGATTTGCTGTGTGTGTGTGTGTGTGTGTGTGTGTGTGTGTGTGTGTGTGTGTGTGTGTGTGTGTGTGTGTGTGTGTGTGTGTGTGTGTGTGTGTGTGTGTGTGTGTGTGTGTGTGTGTGTGTGTGTGTGTGTGTGTGTGTGTGTGTGTGTGTGTGTGTGTGTGTGTGTGTGTGTGTGTGTGTGTGTGTGTGTGTGTGTGTGTGTGTGTGTGTGTGTGTGTGTGTGTGTGTGTGTGTGTGTGTGTGTGTGTGTGTGTGTGTGTGTGTGTGTGTGTGTGTGTGTGTGTGTGTGTGTGTGTGTGTGTGTGTGTGTGTGTGTGTGTGTGTGTGTGTGTGTGTGTGTGTGTGTGTGTGTGTGTGTGTGTGTGTGTGTGTGTGTGTGTGTGTGTGTGTGTGTGTGTGTGTGTGTGTGTGTGTGTGTGTGTGTGTGTGTGTGTGTGTGTGTGTGTGTGTGTGTGTGTGTGTGTGTGTGTGTGTGTGTGTGTGTGTGTGTGTGTGTGTGTGTGTGTGTGTGTGTGTGTGTGTGTGTGTGTGTGTGTGTGTGTGTGTGTGTGTGTGTGTGTGTGTGTGTGTGTGTGTGTGTGTGTGTGTGTGTGTGTGTGTGTGTGTGTGTGTGTGTGTGTGTGTGTGTGTGTGTGTGTGTGTGTGTGTGTGTGTGTGTGTGTGTGTGTGTGCGTCCGTGGTGGTGTACGTGTGTGTGTGTGTGTGTGTGTGTGTGTGTGTGTGTGTGTGCGTGCGTGTGCATGCGTGTGTGTGGTGAGCCCGTAAGTGGGATCATTTTGAAGTCCACCTAGAGTTTGGGGGATTTCAGGGGGTGTCGGCCGTTGGGCGGATCAATAGCCAATTGAGTTATCTTTCCAAGATTCCTGTTGAGTCTCTCTCCCCTCTCCCCGGGAGACCCACGTGACCAGTGTTGGCAGTGAGCAACAAGTACAAGTACTCTTATTCTGTCCCTGCGGGAATTTGCGGAAAAAACTCTCGAAAACTTGCGCAAGAAATTGCGGCAGAAAACAACAAAAAATGCGACGAAAAATGCGGAATGATGCAGAACTTGCCAGGAATTCGCGGAATTATTTACAGAAAATTGCGGATTTGGGCCAAATCACGAAATTTGTTGCATCGTATATCTACTTGGGAGTAGTACGAGTCGTACTGTGCAAATAACCTACAGGATCATGGAAAGCACTGCTTGAAAAGTGCATAAAAAAGTGAGATATAGTGCAGAAAAGAACAAAAAACGCGGGAAATCGTGGATTTTCCTGAAAATCGCGGGTTTGGGCGAAAATCGCGAAATTTGTTGCATCCGTGGAATCGCGATTTCCTGGAGGGACAGATTATTGGCGATGGTGCCATCGTGAGAATAAAGAATTCAAAAAAAAGTACAAGTGTGTGTGTGTGTGTCAGAAACACTAGCTATGTGTAGAACGGTCCCCTCTCACCTCAATTATTCTCCTTGTTTCTTTTTCCTTTCTCGCTGTTGTCTCCCGCTTCTGGGAGCGACGTGGCCATTTTGTGGCAGTTGTACATAGTAGTAGTAGTAGTAGTGCGTGTGTGTGTGTGTGTGCGTGCGTTGCGTGCGTACGTGTGTGTGTGTGTGTGTGTGTGTGTGTGCACTGGCCAGAAAAAGCCACTTCATAGCTGTGTGGTGTAGACCAGACTGAATAGTGGCGGTCAATTCTTCAGCTTTGCAAGCTGTTAAATGCTGCAATCCCAGCACAAGCTGCTATGGCTTCTGCCGTAGCATCACTATCATCGCCTCCGGCGATGGGCGTCCAATGGTCCAATGGTGTGCACATTCTTGTATGCATGTGTGTCCGTGTGGCCTTGCTTCCAAATGTGTGTGTGATGACCTATTATTGTTCAGAGTCGGTCAATACAAGTACATCACAGGAATTCCAGGATCACCTAGTGAGTCACAACAAACACATTATTATGATTCTTTATTCCACTCCAAACTGAAAAAAGTAAATAAAATTGGAGGTGTTACACTAACTCACCGGACTTACGATAGCCAAAGGTAAGCAGCACGGAATAATATGGGAAAAAAGTAAGGTAGAGGGAGAGAGAGAGAGACAGATAACCCAAAGGCATGGCACACTCCCGGACGTATGCATGCATGAAAAGCATGCATAGGAAGTGCTACAAGGCTTGAATGCACTGCACTGCACTACAGAATAATTGTCTTCCTACGTCTTGTCTTCTGCTCTTTACATAAATGAGCAATGCATGTGTACCATACACGACTATAGACATGATTCCCTTCTTGCTACTGCATACTACTCTATCAGGCCCAAAGCTAAGTGGCCGTTGTCTTGATAATGAAGAGGAGCCTGCGACACAAGTTGAAGTTTTGTTCTGTTGTTTACCCCGTCTGAGTTTCAGGGCAGCATGGCCAATCATTGCCTGATGATTGGCCCTGTTGCCATGATACTCGGAGTAAGAAGAGAGCAAAGTTTTTCACCACTATGAGCTTGTTTACATTGCTCTATGCAATATATATATATATAAGAACGAAACAGCATGCTGTCCGCAGATTGAGTATTTCGCTCCTGCTCTTGTAGCAGTTGAGCACTCTTGCGTGGGGTAGTGCCTTTGCTGTTTGCGTCATGCAGAGCTCACTGACTTGTCAGTTTGAGCACTCTGGCAAGGTACGTTCGGGCCTGATTGGAAATTTTTATTTCCATTGCTATCAGGTTCGGCCTCATTTCCTCTGTGCTGCACTGATGAGTTCAAAAAGAACGAAACAGCATGCTGTCCGCAGATTGAGTATATATATGCTGTCTACAGCATTGGGTATATATATTGCTCTATACAATGTACACGCACGTTGAGATGTTGAAGCCAGGTATTCTTGTACGCTGTACGGAGACTAGACCAAAATTCCCGGCAGAACAAATCGTCATTTATTTTGCTGCCCGATATCAATTCTATGTTTCCACAGGTGGCTGGTATCCACCCCCTGGTGATGATGTGTTTCTGGACAATGACGGAATGGAGGCCGATAGTGGTGCAAAGCCTGACAAAGGCCCATGGCTATTCGACGTGGACGGTACGTTACGGACAGCAATATCGCACCATGTCAGGAGAACACAATGCACATAACCTTGGTTCGGTGCTACCGCTATGCTTGGTTTATGCATGGCACTGTGTTGCAGGTTTGCGGTACTGTCACAATCAGTTTTTAGTAGGGGTGAAACGATTAGTTAATTTCAAACGAGCGAGTATTCGAAATTTTGCACTCAATCGTTTTTTTTTTTTTAGCATTGGCATTCTATATTTCAAAAACTTTTGTTATACCGCTCGTCCACTGTACATCACGGTATGCATGCCTTATGCATACCTTTGAGTCAGTATTTTATGACTTGGACAATGCGATCACCACGGCAAGTAACGATCTGAGCTATGAAAGTACTAATGAAAATCGTTACTTTACACTCTGTACAAGACATTGGCGACTTTTGCTCTATGTTCACAGATAATTTCTCCCGAATTGGTCGAGAACTCACAAATCTAGCGCTTTTGAAGTTTGATAAAATACTCGAAATAATCGGATACTCGATCGAATATTATGAACGAGTGATCGATTGGTCAAAATAGATACTCGTTTCACCCCTAGTTTTTAGTGCTTTGCACGGGTCCCGAGAATCATACAGTCATCTAGAACTCAAGTCAAAGGACAGAGTTAAGTAACCAGTGAGTTGGTGTTCCCTGAAATTTGTGGATCACACGTTTGATATCTCTACACGTATCTGTGATTTCTTGTGTTGCAGTTGACCCACTGGAGAAGAACAATCTTTACTCCACTATGCCAGACCAGGTCAAGGTGATGGAGGCTCAGCTAGCGGAGTACATGGAAGGATACGTGGATGACCTCTACAGCAAGCACCCACCGGATCCCAAATGCAACCCAGCGCTATACGATGGAGCATGGTCTCCGGGCTGGTGCTAAACTGCTAATGCTATCAAATTGGTGGAAATGTCCAACTAGTTCTGTTCAATGCAGTAATCCTTTTCTTGCCAGGGTTCTGGCCGATATATTGTGGCCTTATTTTCTCGTTTGATCGACTACTTCTGTTTTCTTCTTCCGGCCACTTGGCTATGAAATACATAAACTGACTATGTGTGTATGGGCGAGCTTGCACTGTCCATGCGTTCCTGGGTATGACACCACCACAGTAGGCTTTCGTCAAGTACCACACTAGTCTCTTCCAGTGCCCTTTAAAGTGTAGTCTAGGACAGTAAGTACAGTCTACTCGCGATAAGTCGCACACTCTGTCTTGAAGACAAAAATGTGACTCATCGCGAGTGTCTGACTTACTGTATAGCAGGAAAGTTTCGGACGGAATTTATTTCCGTACCATTTCGTACACGGCCTCTTTTGCACTAAAATTAATTTAATTCCATACTAAAATTTGTTCTTGTGAAGTTACATGTATGTACACCACACATGTGTGCCGTGCCGCATGCGAACAAGTGCATTTAGCATGCAGCACTGTACGAAAATAAAATCCGTGCGAAAGGTCGAAAATCGGCTTTGTCCGAAAATATTTCCGTCCCAAAATTTCCGGCTGTACAGTAAAAGTACATGAATTATCGTGAGTAGACTACAAAAACCGTATTTTAGTAGTCACTGCCCAAGACATCTGGTTCAACATGTTTAGCACAAGGCTCTTGCATAATGGCTGAGACTTATGTTGTGCGTGCAGCAAAATCAAATCCATGAAAGCACTCTGAAATGTGACAAGTCCATTTAACATAAATAGTACACACTGCATGATTGTACTCCTTGATCAAGCTCATAACCATAAATAAAATAAAAGAGAGTTGACAAGTATTGGTAGGACAGGTAACAGGTGGTATAAATATTACAATGTAACAAATAAATATAGGTGAGAGTAGTGAACTTGTCCGAGTTGATCACAAGTTAGTTAAACTAGGGGAGTATTAGACACGTATGAACTTGAAGGTGACCTATCAAATACCACGGGAGTATTACATGCCATAGAGGCAGCGGGCCTTAACCTGCAACAGTGCTCAAATGCCCGTAATGTGCAGAGCGTAGTACGCAATAGGTATACAAATGGACGAAAAACAGGGCTGTTTCGTTGTTGCTCAGAGTTTCATGGTAAAAACCAATCATCTCTCTGTCTGTGTGACCACGAAACAGCCCTAGTTTGTTTCCATTTGTGTACCTCTTGAGTTTTACATGACATAACATAGAAGCCAGAACGGTTGATGAGAAGTTCTGCGCGATGTCATTATTTGAGGCGTTTTGCATTGCGTATCATCACGCGCTCTAGGAGTAGTTCACCACTCAATAGGAAGCGTATACGATGATGTCATGATGCCTACGGTCATTAGATCCATTACATCATCCATCACATTATCCACCACAGCACCGGCTTACAGCTATCTACTGGAAGGCCCCGTGGTGTACATTGACCAGCTGCATGGCACTAAGCGTGTGGAAGAATCAGGTAATGTGTCGGATACTGCCAGCGCAGTTGACCTACACACTGTGCAGCAGGAGATGTCGGCGCATAAAACAGGTTACATTCTGTATCACTGAAGCAGGTATCCAAGTCAGATGAGCTAGGGTGGTGAAGATACAAAGCAATGCGCTGCACCGTACGCATCAATGCCAGCAGGACCAAAAGCCAAGACGCAGATCCGGTGTGCTGTGTAGGCTGATCAGCAAAGCTAAAAGCTGGAGAGCTGCTTGTACGAGAGTATCGTACATGACGTAAGCAACAACCCGGAACTAACCCACAGCATGTGGATTGGTGTACAGACCAGTGCACAGATTGATGGCTGCAGCTTCAGTAAAGTTCGAACACCTGCGTTTCCACCGGCTATACAATTGTGTACAACCAGCTTTAATAGGAGGCTTCGCTTGTGGCAGGCCACCACCATGCCTGATTATATCAGGGTGGCATATGCAGTGCGTAGCGGCGAGGGTGAGATGGGAACTCTCGTAACCAGCGCCCAGGCCAACCCTCAGATTGATGGCTGCAACTTGAGGAAAGTTGGCACAGTTGCGTTTCCACCGGCTATGCAGCTGTGTACAACCAGCTTAGGAGGCTTCACTTGTGGCCGGCCACCACCATGCCTGATTGTATCAGGGTGGCATACGCAGCGCCTAGCGGCGAGGGAGAGGTGGGAAGTCTCGTAACCAGTGCCCAACAGCGGGCCAACCCTCGTGGGCTGCATCCACGTTGATGGATTTGCAGACAAACCAGTTTCGTAGGTTTTCTCAGCACCAGCCCGGAGACCAAACGCCACCATGCCGCGCCGGGTTGCTGCGCGGATCTGGAGGATGCTGGCTGAACAAGTCGCCGACGTACCCCTCCATATGCTCGGCTAACCTGGCCTCCATCGTCTTCACTTGGTTTGGCAGTTCTTCATAAAGGTTGTTCTTCTCCAGGGGGTCAGCTACAGATAGTAAAACAGCAATAGCAAAAGTTTGTTCCCTTTAGTTAATCTTTTCTTTATTGTAAGCAACGCGGTTGGAAAAATCAGCTGGCTACACACTGACCCGGATGAGATCGGTGCTATTTCGTCTGCACATGTATGAGTGTGTACTGGCATCCACAGAAACTATTTTATATTTATACAGCATGGTACAATGATCACACAGCAATTTCGCAGCCAAGTTCATTTCCGCAAAACAAAGTTTCGTGTGAAACACTCAGACAGCTGTCTGCTGATGAGTCAAATGGTTGTATTACTGGCTCTGACCACTGGACACGGAGCACTATACGCAGCCTGAGGACCTTAGACAACTGTGTATAAAGCATGGTAGATGACCCACCCCAGGCTCAGGTAGTGCCACACACACACACACACAGCTGCCCCTACAATGTAGTTCAGCCCAAATCTAAGGGCAGGCACGGTGCACAGGAGCATCTGCAAAGCACATGTACATGACTGTACAGAAGACCAAATCTCACTAGCTGCAATCAACGGTCTCAATTTAATTTTCAAACAGGACACCTTCGTCCTTTGCAGTCTTATCAAGATCAACACACTGGAGAAATGAGGTCAGACCTAGTAGCAATGACAGGATACGTTCAGAGCCAGAAACATGTACCTTGATAATCCTGGATGTGTAGTCGTGGCCAACGAAATCCGACCCACGAGTCAAACGTAGCACTGCATTCCATTTCAACGACATCATGAGCAGTCCAAAAACCCATGCAATGGTCGCTTGAGCCTTGGCACTGCTTTCGGCACGTGGGTCGGATCTCTTTGGCTACGATTGTACTTTGCCAGTGTATGCACCAGGTCATGTGGAGAATGCACAGTGAACTCAGGCAAGTTCAGCTTACCTTCAATATCAAACAACCAGGGGCCAGACTCGTGTTGATGTCGAGACGAGACCTCTCGTAGATAGAGCGGGTATTTCTTGTCATCTTCGCCTGCCTTATACCAATAATCTGTAGCGGCAAATTCAGTCAACAGGCAAAAGAGAGTCCATATTGGTCCTGTTCAGACCGAACAGAGAGACTGACAGATACATTGTACGTGGAGTGAGATAGATAGGCAAAGAGAGGGAAGACAATGTCATGTAGTTGACAATGTCATGTAGTTGACAATGTCATGTAGTTGACAATGTCATGTAGTTGACAATGTCATGTAGTTGACAATGTCATGTAGTTGACAATGTCATGTAGTTGACAATGTCATGTAGTTGACAATGTCATGTAGTTGACAATGTCATGTAGTTGACAATGTCATGTAGTTGACAATGTCATGTAGCTGACAATGTCATGTAGTTGACAATGTCATGTAGTTGGCACCAACCTCATATACATGCATCCTATGTGCGTGTCAACGCCTTTCATACCACCCAAGTACTGCAAATATATCTTGCAATGAGAGAAGTCCAGTACCCCCGAGTCAAAGAAGACTCCACCAAAATCATAAGAAGCAAATGATGGTACTGCAAGGAAACAAAAATCCGGCACACGTTTACTTTCGGCTATTTTCGGCCCGGTATTTTTGGCTTAAAATTTGCTGCGGCCGAAATTTTGTTTCCGAAGGTTCAGTGTGGCCAGTGTATACAGGCGGCAGTAGTACAGACTGAAATTTTTAATGCGATCGAAATGGGTTTTAGCCCTGGGAGGCTGAAATTTAAACACACTGAAAGTTTGTAAACTTACAGTATGTCGGCGAAGGAGACAATATGACTTACTTACCATACAGACCTCCCGATCCACCTCGGATATATTTCCACTTGCCAAGTCTACAAAGAACAGAAACAGATCCAGAACGAGTGTTAATATCCTGACCAGATTGCCAGCGAGTTGGTGATATGACGAACTCTATTTTCAAGATTTCTGGCTTTTGGGAAAGTGGAAGACAAACCAACACGTTTCGAACTCCATTGACCAGTAAAACAAAGTAAGGGTCGGTTAGGGCACCTCTAATAGAGTGTGCGATGCAAAAGAGTACAGAACGGTGTATACGCAGCATTACGTACACACACACACACACACACACACACACACACACACACACACACACACACACATACACACGTGCGCGCGCACACATTCACACACACACGTGTGCACAAACGCACACACAGAAGATAGGAGCATCTCCTTCCACTGTACTATCACGCACTAAGCAATCGTGGAAACAGCTTGTCATCTTGTGCGTGCGCAACTCCGTAAAGTGGAGTTACAGCCCGCCAATAAGTCACATCAGAGTCTCCCCAGGTCAACCCGGATGTACACTGACGTGTTCTGAGTTGCCACGGGCAACTACGTGATTCGAAAACTCTGTATGGCGGAACACAGATCTGCAGGCAGTGTATGTAATACTTTCCGTAGATCGACTACGTTTTTTACAGACATAATTACGTTATGCGGAACCTCTCTAATACCGGACAATTTCTGTACAGCATACATACAACATAAGAAGGACCAATAGCGTCACAACTGCTGATGCCAATGCGCACATGGCAAAAACAAGGCTTATCCTAGCACACTCACAACAGGGTGCAGCACCACAGGTTCTTACCAGACTCACCGTATCGCAAAAACGCCGTCCGTTTTGTCAATGTTGTACACAAACTCGGTGCGCCGCGAGCTCAAGTTGTTGCGCAACGCTTGCCACATGTCCACCCCATCTATGGCTTTATCTGCAGTGAATCATGAGCACACCATATCATTCAAGTCAATCTGGGGCATGGCAGCAGGATTAATATAGTGTACGTTGACATGGTAGCACCCTGCAGTATTTCACATACAGCTGGTAACTACATACAGGCAGGCAATGTTGCTGCACTAGTGCCGCAATACACAATGTACTGAGTTTCCTCTTCCGCACTCAGACAGATGAACTGTGTAAGAAGTTGCCATAGCACGTGGCAACTAGTTGCGTGCACAGCAGTGTTCCCACCGCAAATCCTCCTCGACAAAGGCATGAGTTTGTTTGCAATGCATTAGCGAATGATGGAATACGCTACCAAGGTGGAGTCTAAAATAACCTCATGTACACACCACCCATGAGTAGTGTCTCTTGAGCCACCAACTTACCAGTTTCCGGCTGTCCGGCGGCCGAAAGCAGAGTCGGGTACCAATCAACAGCATGCATAAGACTGTGCAAACAGACAGAAACACAGACACACACACACACACACACACACACACACACACACACACACACAGATACACACACACACACACACACACACACACACACACACACACACACACATAACTGTCTTACATGTATCTCCTAGGGCAATGACCAGGGCTTGAACGTGATGACGTCAGAAGTCTACAGATTAAACTGGCTCAAGGCTTCATTGAGGGTGCTGTAACTGTCAGAATCACAGCGAGCTTTGCATGAGGGCAGGCAACTTTGACGCTAGCTAGCGAGCTTTGCATGGGGGCAGGCAACTTTGACGCTAGCTAGCGAGCTTTGCATGGGGCAGGCAACTTTGACGCTAGCTAGCGAGCTTTGCATGGGGGCAGGCAACTTTGACACTAGCCAGCGAGCTTTGCATGAGGGCAGGCAACGAGACAACGGAGCATAATACTCAATTTCCGAATTTTGTACTACTGGATTCAACCTGTTTTATTGGCATCACAAATGCAATCCCTACATATTGATAGTAGTGTGTATTGCTCACCCGTTGTACGTGTAACCCCTCTTGTTCAGCATTTGCCCGTGGACGAAGGCAACTCCGCGCGTTCCACCTTCCCAGACGGTTGACTTGCAACCTCTTAGCGGCCAGTTGTTGCCGCCGAGATCCACACGACCTCCATTCTGCAAGAGGCATGGACGCATGCGCAGAGTTGTTGTTTCGTTTTTTTTTAATTCAGAAAATCAAATGGGCAAAAAGCCCAATTACATGAGAACGAATGTGTTTTGTGCGTGCATATAAACGTCATAGAAGCAGGATTATAAGAGAAGAGCAAAAACCCCAAAGTCTAACCCAAGATGTGAGTGCCAGGCACGGTGCAGCACGAATAAATAAGTACAGAAATGTGCCGTGTGGAGCAGGTGACGAAGACCATCAAATTAGGTCACCATTTCTTTCTCCAGTATTCGCATGTGTTCTACAGCAAAATATTGCAGGTTCTACTTCGAAGCAAAAAATTGTTCAATAACTGTTCTGGTGTAGGTTGTTAGCCCTTTGGCTCCCGTACATACACTTAGTTAAACCAACAGCATTCAAAGACTTGTACTCTGTGCTCCATTGGTTGGTCGTTCTAAGCATGCAAGAGACTGCAAAAGAGAAGATTCACAGCATATGCAACGACAAAGAAATCAACATCACCATCTTCTTACATCTGTTGTGAAAACCATCAGCGTATTCTTCCACAAGCCGCGCTTCTTGAATGCTTGTACAACTTCGCCGACAGTATCATCCATGGCACTCACCATAGCTACCATACATAACAACAACATACGAGTTGCACAAAGTTAGTATCGGAATATCAGACAACTGCGCAATGCAAGTGTGATTGACAAGCCGAGAACAACATCCAATTTCTCTCTCACACAGGCACACACGAACACACACACACACACACACACACATGTGCTGCCCTGAAACACGTACACCCACGCACAAATGCACACACTTGCATCGTGGTACAGCAAACCACCACATATCCTATCAGGACGACCTAACATCTATGGATACGCCACCAGGCCACAGCACCCACAACTATGTGCCTCTCAACTCCAGAATGGTAGTTTCTATGGGACTGATGCAGTCTACTCACCAGAATAGACACGGCGACGTGCATTGACCGTTCCATCATACATTCTCTGATAGGAAGCCGGCGCCTAGAAGCAGCATCAAGCACAGTCAGCCAAGAAAACGCCACATGAAACAAGCAGTGCAACTGCCAAGCAGTACCACTACACAACTACGGTTGCCCTCCCAAGATCTTAGCCATGCAGCATGATTACACGGATGATCAATCAGGTACAGAGTACGGTCCTCGACCCAGCTAGCACTGACACTACAATGAAGAATCTGGATTAGATTCCTGATTTCACAAATCAACTGATGGTAGTCCAAACCATCCGACAGCGTATCACTTGACCTGGTGCTGACTAAAATGCCACTTCTTCTTGCTGCATGATACATGAAATACTTATCGCTCTTCTTTATGTGCAAAGGTCGAAGAATCGTTTTGTTCCTGAGCAAAGTCTGAACTTGACAGCATACCGGCACGGATTCGAATCCTGTGACAGCATTCAAACCTAGGCAAAGCATCCTTGACCTAACCTGCAGTGGAGAGTGTGGCGCTTGTAGTGCCAGGTACAGATAGAGAGGTCCCGAAGATGCGTTGTGGCTTTTCACAATCCGGATTGCTTCCCGCCTGTACAAGTACTGGCAAAAGAAAGACCAAAAAATGAAAGGAAACAAATTTGTGAGCACAACCTTCAATTCAATTATAGTACACTTGCAGAACAACTATACAACTTAGACTACAACTATCAACCTATGTAATACTGTGAACCATGTAATTTTTTAAAGTGTATTAAAATTTCGGTGTCAGAGGCCTGCCAGGTTTCAGGTGTAATGTAGAATTAGGTGACCAGCAATCCATCCTCATACAGTGTGTACTCTGGTGTCTTTTAGGTGTAATCCAAATTTAGGTGCTTGTTCTCTCTACGGAAATCACCGAAATTAAAGTTACACCGAAAATACACAATACCATTTTTTTGAGACGCGACACGCGACATGCAACAGATGCGACAAGAAAATGCCTGTAGCGAGCTGTCGCGTACAGTCGCAAGGCACCTGTCGCAGACGTTGCAGGAAGTTCAACTTTCCCGACGTGCGAGACGCGACGTACACAATAAAGTACAGTTTCTACTCTGGGTGCAAGTGCAGCGCACGCGCACAGTACATGTTCTGCATATGGATGACGCAAAACAATAGCTAAAGATTAGGAAACGTGTGTCGCGGTCGCAGCTTGTCGCAGGTGATGCGTGTCGCTTCGCAAAAAGTGGTATTGTGAATCAGCATTAAGAAATTTAATGATCAAAGTACGGTATGCATATGAGCACAATTGCATGCGTATCAAAATCATGGCTGTTGCTTGCACGGTTTTGGCTCATCTAAAAAGGCAAAGCGAAAAGCGGGACAATTCTGGATGGATTTAGTTCAAGGAAATTGGATGGGTACCGTATCTCAAGGGCTTTGCTCCAAACAGGCTTTGTTCTCCCTGGTTTCGAACTGAAACTGTGAGTGAGTGACTGTGAGTCGCGCTTTCTGGCTTGGGCAGGTTCTCAGCGTACATGCCAAAAACAGCCTACAGTCAACTTCGCTAATAACGACTGCGGATATAACGACAATTCGTGAATAACGACAGAATTTCCATGCCCAGAGCAAAGTCCCATCCCACTGTAATACATATAATGAGACTTCGGGTATAACGACACTTCGCGAATAAGGACACCTTTTTGATGCCCCGCCGAGTGTCGTTATAAGCAAAGTTGACTGTATTTCGTTTCATTTTCCTTGTCGATCAAGCTCTCTTCCAGTCTTTCCCCTTGTGCGTCGCGTGCGAGTTTCACTCAAAGGATCTGCCCTTTCTAACCGTGTTCTCGTTTGCGGATAGAGTAGATCAATTGAGTTTCTTATAGGCACGACACAGAGACAATCTCATGACAGTCTGTGCCTCGCGTCTGAAAACCGTGCGCCTAAACAAATCGTTTTTTAAATGTTATGACGTAAAGGCGCACAACTTTAGCTATTCTGTGTATGCGGGCATGCATCCTTTTGAGAGTCTTCTCTGTCGTTTACAGATTGGATCTTTCCCGGTTTTCTACTTCGTGTATTCTAATAAATTACTTGTCTCTAACATGGCGCAGTGAACCCCATCGTTAGAGCAGAAAAGAAAGGTACCGCAGAAGTCCGGATGACGGTGGATTTTACCAAGCTCAACAAGCAAGTTGTCCGCGCATCCCATGCGCACACCTCGTGATGTCGTCTCCAACCTTGGCAACACCCAGTATTTCACCAAGCTGGATGCTCGCCATGTATACTGGCAGGTCCCCTTGGATGACGAGTCCAGAAGCTTGACTACCTTCATTACGCAGTGGGGCAGATACCAGTAAGTGCGGAACCTACAAGGCCTCATTTCTTCTGGAGACGAATTTTTTAACCATCGTAAATTGTAATTCTGCTTCGTTGTAGTGGCTACGAAACATGGACAAGCACTTGCAGTATTTGCAAGAGGTCTGCCGCATAGGCGGCAGAAAATTCTCTACGTGCAAGCAGACAACACGGTACAGTGCAGAGAAACATGCTGAAACCCTCCAGTCTGTCGTAAATGTTGATATTTCTGAGGACAAACCATACGTACACCCACCATTTAGATGTACTCTGCGTGAGAAAACGCTAAAAAGAACAAGGTGGCAAGGCCGAGTTCTTTGGTGGTGGCTGTGGTCCTGCAGTGACATGGGAGCCGTACCACCGTACCAGCTGTAATTTGTGCACTAACCACAATGCCAAGAGCCGCGGCAACAATCAAAAACCGAGAACAGAGTAGCGAGGTGCAGCAGCTGCGGACCCACCAGACTCACAGAGACAATGCGGGAGCACACAAGCACACGACACAACTCAGGTATCGACAATTGTACGTGGAGTGGATGTGCCAGCAGACACAGTATCAAACAAAGTCACCCCAAAGCATGCCACAGGAGTAGTGCTGGCACCGTCTCTTCGCCACCTGGGCAATGCTGTAGCCAGGATGCTTGGCAACTTTGCAGTACACTGTGATTTCTACCAGCCGTCACTCAGTGGCTGCCCAGAAGTTGTTCTTCTGTATTCACTGCAGGAACACGTGCAGACCAGCCTGCTCAATCCCCATGTGTCATCCCGGTGTTTACCAATCCGATCCGCCCGAGCGTCGTCAACAGCTGCACCCAGTAGCAGCAGACAGCCTAGATTCTGATGCAGGACGCCTAGCATGGCTAGCTCAGTCTGAATGTACTGCAACACACACCATGCCCGCACCGAATAAGTTGGCAGATGCATTGACTTTTACATGGGAGAAATAAGAGAGATTGTTTTAACCCATTGCTGGCCTGAGGTACAATACCCCAGGCCCTGGTGCTGCATTAGCCATCAAGGCTGACCCACGACTTCCATGGAGCCAGCTGGGGACGATACGGCGGCAGCTGAAAGTCTACGGCATCCAGCTCAAGTCTGAGATGCTCTTGAAGTTTATCACCAACATGACAATTCGTTGCTCTCCGTGTGAGTCCTTTGGTGACAGTCGGGGATCTCCTGCTGTACAACAATGTGGGAAATACTCCTGGGCTGCTTTTTTCATTCACCCTTGGGGCAGGGCCGATTTCCGTACACTTGCATACTTGACTTGAAACTTACTTCACTGAACGATGCGACATTGATATGTTCACTTGTGGCATCTTCTCCGTCAAATACCATCACTGACCGGCAGTGCTTTCCGACTCTAAAACTCTTGTCTAGGTCGCGTTTGAGATCAGCATAGACCACAGAACACGCAGAACTCCTAAGTCTGCGGTCAAAAGCATACATTTCAGGTTCTATGGTCTCGCGCCATCTCCCTACATGCTATGACTCCCCGGTGTTAACAAATCAATACTTAGTAGTGAATGCAGTAACATACTGCAGGTGCGCTCAGTGAAATCCAACCCAGAGTGCATAGTTGTCGCCCTCAACTTGCACAAGCCCTCGACGCCCTGGATGTGGTGTGAATGCGGCTGGACGTACGCATGTACAAAATTAATACAATGATGCAATCAGAATTGGTCTATGGCGCCAGTATTGCACTTTGGGTGGGATTTCATCGAGCACAACTGTAGTTTTTAAGGAAGCAAGGATGTCAGACTTACACTGGCATAGGTGCCTGTATCAGACGTGACTGTGCTAGAAGAGTTGCTAGTGTCCCGGTGTAGGTCCAGTGCTTCAACTTTCTGTCCTGTCAAGCATGCAAACAGAGGAGGTCAGCAGAACCAAATGCATGACGGCACAAGTATGTTCTCTCTGTCTTCCTTCCCTCTGGGTATATTCCATTCTGCCACGGCTGGCTCTCATCCTTCATCTCAACTGATGAATTGGCCGTCTTCTCACGTGCCAGGGGAATCTTGCTAGTTTCTACGTACTGCGGACATCCTGGCCTAGCTGCCTTATCCCCTTGTCATCATCTCAGGGCAGCTGCATCGGTTTTGAGATCACCGACACATGCCATACAACACAGCACTACGTCAGGCTACATGATGCTCATACAGATCTGAGATTATTAATTTTAGACTCTTAAAAAAACCGTGCTCAAGTGACAGTCGCATTCTCTAGTCTTTGGCATGCGACACAAATGACGGCATGCGACTGGAACAATCACGATAGGGTAGATCCCAGTAAAGAAATTGAAAACACACAGCAGATCTCTAATCAACACAGATCACCACTGCATCGAAAGACACAGTATATTGGCCTATTTCGCAGGGCTGCTGCTCCCTACCTCTTTCGCCCAGCGGCGTTTTCAAAGCCGACGGCGGGAATCCCACAGACTTGTGTGTGTAGTAGTCTCCCGCTCCCAGGTAGTGGCCGAAGAACGTGTCAAAACCGCGTTGAGTCGGCAAGTACTTCTTGTTGCAAAACCCAAGATGCCACCTGTTCAGAGCAAAACACAACAGCTTTTTTTTAAATAAATGCTGGGAAGTCACTAGTAGGATCACGAATAATTCAGTGACATTACAGTAAATTCAGAAAAAAGGACATTGGGGATTAGAAAACCGGTTCGGACTGGAGTAAACTTTGAATATGAGTTTTTAGAACTCACAATGTGGGTTCTGGATCCGCTGCTACGTACAAAGTGATGCATAGAACCATCGAACCATGGAATGCATCATATACGATGTGCACTGTTTTACTATTAAAAAAGCGTAACTTACTTGCCAACCAGGTGGGTTGAGTATCCCAATCTGTTGAGGCGCTGTGCAATGGTGGAAACGTTGCAGTCCAGTCCAAATCCCCTTTCGGGAACCACATGAGAGTGCTAACCGGAACAGGCACACATGCCCAGAAACAGGCATACATGTACACATGTACCGGCACACACACACACACACACACACACACACACACACACACACACACACACACACACACACACACACACACACACACACACACACACACACACACACACACACACACACACACACACACACACACACACACACACACACACACACACACACACACACACACACACACACACACACACACACACACACACACACACACACACACACACACACACACACACACACACACACACACACACACACACACACACACACACACACACACACACACACACACACACACACACACACACACACACACACACACACACACACACACACACACACACACACACACACACACACACACACACACACACACACACACACACACACACACACACACACACACACACACACACACACACACACACACACACACACACACACACACACACACACACACACACACACACACACACACACACACACACACACACACACACACACACACACACACACACACACACACACACACACACACACACACACACACACACACACATGTCCAGAAACACAGGCATACATGTACAGGCAAATATGTCCAGAAACACAGGCATACATGTACACATATGTACAGGCACACATGTGTCCAGAAACACAGGCATACATGTACAGGCATACATGTACACATGAGCAGAGACACAGACACATATGTACAGACACACATGTACAGACACACATGTACAGACACACAGGCATGCAAAACAAAGACAGAAGTGATGTGATGGGAATGCGAAGTGAAGAATCTCTTGATCACTCTTAGCTTCGTGCTCACGCAACGTATAAGAAACCTGTTCTGCTCCTCGTTCACGCAAAATCACGTGAAATGTGAACATGTACTGGGAATTTCCTGTTGCAAATTTGGCAGCTTTCTCTGTGATCACAGTGCTACGCATACTTTATTTGCGGGTGCTGCAAACGCACAGAACCCCATCTACTGTGGTGTCCTTGTTTGGCTGTCCCATGCATTTACACGATGAAGCTTCAGTCAATTCCTTGGAGGCATATGGGAAAAGTTTTGATCAACCGACAAGGGAAATGGTCAAGCATGGCGAATTTGCTATAGAAACAGGAACCAGGCAGATTCGAATCAGCTTGCAGAAAGGAGTACTGAGTACGCTGAGAATAGGCAGTGTCACTGTACGCACACTGGTACCCTGGCCAGGTACAGACATGCTACCTTTGTACACAAACTGGCCACGAGGCAGGGTACTGCCCAACACGCAAGAATAGCAGCCAGGCGTACGCAAGGGCCAAGGGTCAAAGCAGCCAGATCAAGGCAACTCCAAACAAACGAAAAAAGAACAAAAAAAGGTTTACCGTCCACTGTTGCCATAGTTATGGCTGCTTCAACCACCATGGATTTTGAGCCGGAAGAGTGCTGCGGCTGTGATACGGAAGAACGGCGAAACGGGAAAGGGGATACACCTTCTTCGCTTGGGGTGTAATCCATCCGTTTAGTGGGTTTCCTGACGCAAGCGGAAGATTAGAACACACGTACCATTGAAAAGTTCCCTATTTTCGATCAGCATGACTAACAGGTTTTCTGGTCAAAACCTGGATCTACTTGTATCTACTGCATTCAGTTACAAGTAAAGATTAGAGTTTGCTGCTCCACAATAAGGCTGAACGCTTTTTTTCGGAAACAGCAGATATTGCCGTCGACACTGGCAGAAGCATGGTGCCCGTGCGTCCTCTGCTAGAAGAAGTACTGCAGCGAGTAAAGCAAGCCCAGTCTGCTCACACACAGCGTGTAGAGCTGTCCCGCTTGCAGAGAGGCATGCCTTCTACCCTAGCCATTGCATGGACACACTACCTCAAAGTGGTGTCACCTCGCTTTGTGCTGTTGGTTCCGGAGAGGAAGTAAGTTAGTCCGAATAGCCGTGTCTGGCAGAGACAAGGTCATCCCGAGCAGCAGCCGAGGTCATGGATCATGTAGCCTAAGCAGCTGTAAAGTTCCATGCAGGCTGGTGTATCGTTGCTGTTCGAAAACAGCTACTACGAGAGCAAGAGCCAAAGCATGCCCTTTTGAGTCTTATTCCAAATCTTGGCTGTGACATCATAGCATGTAAACATGCGTCTGGTTGTGATTCGACTTCTGACTCTTCCAGTGTTAGTGGTGACGAGGAACTAGCTAGCACCGCAGCGTTCAGCAGGCATCTGTGTTTCCCTGAGCGAGCATTGCTTGCCCCTGTTTATCCGCATGTACAAACTGTGCGAGGAACAGCTCCAAACTGCCCTTCGTACTGCTGGAAAGTCAGCTCCACAAGAACTCGAGCAGCTACTTCTGACCGATGCGAATGTTCTTCAATAGCATTCTGCCATTGTTAAAGATCACAGCGGGAAAGAACTCCTACAGCGTATTGTGCCAATGTTTGTGAAGAGCAAGCAAAAAATAAATGACCCGTGACAGGGGCGTAGGCAGGGGGGGGGGGGGGTGCTTTGGGTGCCAAAGCACCCCCCTCAAAAAGTTCGATCTTGGTTCACAGCTGGTTCGAGAGAGGCAGACCCACTGATCACATGCGCAACTCTGCACATCGCACACTGTAGCCATCCCTGTTTTAGACCAGGGAGTAGTAGGTACTACTCCCTGGTTCAGACCTGCAAGTACAATGTATCTGAAACCAATCCACATGCAGTGGACTATTAATTTTTGTCTCATGATTGGCCATTTTGCGATGAGATTTCTAGTCAAGGGAACTCCGCTTCGTACTTGCCATTGTGCAGTGTCACATCAGGCCTCAGCAGGTTCAGCACATGATTTGTATCGCACTCCACATGTTTTGTTAGAAGCAAAGAATCATACAAACACGCCATTGGTAGAAGCAAGGAAGTAGCAACGCGGCCTATGGCTGGAAAGCACACGTCAGACATAGCAGTTTTTCTCGCTATGTTTTGTATAATGTAGTTCTCGCTGTTAATTGGTCTCGTTGTGGAAAGGCAAAGTTTCTTTCATGCATTGCAAACGTGGATACAGCAGTAGAAGAGTGAAAGTAACGTTGAAGTGCAGTTTGAGTTTTTGTGGGGAATAGTGTAGGTTTGATCAAGGATGCCTTACTGCACTATCAAACATGACGAAGGGGAAAAATGGCTCGAGAAATCCCACTTTAAAAGTTCGATGGAGAGTGTGATAATTCTGGAGAAAGCAGCATCCGGGACTTAGTCCATCATTAGTTGGAAGCAGGCCAGGGTGTAGTAAAATACCATAATCATTACTACTCCCTGGTTGGAGATTTTCCATTCACTGATTGATCTTCAGCGTCGAATTAGAGGCGAATTTTGCTCCCCCCCCCCCCCCCCCCAAATTCACGGATCGAATAATATGCATGAAAGGACCAACATAAGTCATTAAGTGCATGTGCTTTTATGTGGGGAAAGTCGTAGCACCCCCCTTGATCACTATCCTGGCTACGCCCCTGCGTGAAAATCACCTCTCACCAGCTACATCACACCGTCTGCGAGCTGGTTTCCGCTCACATACATCATCACCACATCATGAAATAATACAGACATCTACCCTGTTGATCACCATTAATTTGACCATCATAGTAGAAGCCGCATCGAATTTCTAGGTGTTGAAAGTGTGGCTCCTACTCCGGAAAATCCCCCCCCCCAGAGTGTGCAACTCCCGCATACTAGTATCCTGCTGTCCCGACAGAATTTCAAGCTGACGTCATTTTTGTGATGCAATGTTCCTTGTACCCGTGATTTACGACATTCGTACGGGGGGGGGTGGTGTCAACGCATCACACGTTTTTTCTTTGCGCTAGTTTGTACAGGATCACATGGGGCTTTGTCCACCGCAAGTTCAGAATACACCTGATAATACGTGTACAATGTGTGCATTGGATCATAAAAAACCCGATGTCGACCTGAAATTCTGTTGGGACAGTAGACAGCACCCATAGTCGACTTCCACACTCTTGGGGGCTTATGTACTAGAAGTCAACAAATGTTAGGCCCATGTTTATGAAATTTTGTTTTGCAAATTTTCAGTGACAGTGTATACAGCCAGGAGCAGCACGGACCGAAATTTTAATGCGGCCGAAAAGTGTTCAGCCCTGGGGGAGGCCGAAATTTAAATGTGCCGAAAATTCGTAGACTTATAATACACTTGGTGAAATCTATACACAGTAGACGTGAGCGGCGAGTCGCTACACTCACAATACATATATCTGCAGCACAAACACCGTCGACATCAGCTTGGCTTACCTGCATGCCCGTGCGATACGGATAACGTCCACTCATCAAGCAACTTCTGGTCCTGCAGCGGACAAAAATTGAACAGTTTGTGTGTACAGTCTGGAACCTCTCTGTTGTCCGGTTTGCATGTACACGTACGTTGATGCAAGGAAATGCTATGAAGCACACTACATTCAGTGTCAGTCAGATGCCGCTACAAACATGCCATGCTGTGTGTTCTTAAAAATGAAACACTTCAAGGATCAAACATTTTCATAACGCTGAGGAAGTTGGAAAGGGAGAAGTTTGAAGAAAAAATTGGCTGCAAGGACTTGGCAAGGACTCGAATACAGGACCCTCGCTTTTGCCCCAGTGATCTAGCCAAAGCCGGCTCAGCCAGGGCGACCTGCAGCTCCAAGGGTAATTTTGGCCGGCTGCAGTCACCCCATGTAGACTGTAGTGCACTGCACTAGCACTTGAGTGAGATGGTGGAGTACAACCCATATCCTAGGGGTAGGTATGTGCAGTACAGTACGTAGCACTGGCTACTTAAGTTAGGCTCAGTGCTAGCTCTTCACTCAAGATCAAGCTCAAATGCACTTGAGTATGCACTTGAGTACGTCAGTAAAATGTAACAGGTTGGGTCATGGTTCGCTGCTTCTGGTGGTGTACACGGCTGTGGCTAGACTGGGTCTTGTCAGATGACCAATGTACACTGCATGCAGACATGACCTTGGTGAACACATGATCCATGCTCATGTAGCTTCCTTTTTCATATTTTGTTAATTTACCTATAATCACATTTTCACAACTGCCTGATGAATGCCCATAATTGGACGAAGCGAAAGGAGATGCAAGCTGCAATGAAAGATTTGTAGTGGTGTGTGTGTGTGTGTGTGTGTGTGTCTGTGTGGATACGTGACTGATGGGGGGGTCTGGGGGCGCAGCCCCCAGAACGATGCATTTTAACTAGAACGTTGGCCGGCTGGCATTAAATCCTGGCTAGACCTCTGTGCCCAACTATGCTCTACAACAGATGTATGGTGTAGTTGTCATCCCAGCAGAGACAGTTCAACATTTTCTGTCAACTTTTTCTTCAGATGTTTCCCATTTCAACTGCCTCAACTTCATGAAAGTTTCCCATCACGCTGGGAATTACATTGAGTCGAGAATCGAGAGTCTAGTGTCACGAATGTCACCGTGGTGATTGCGGCCTACTCACTACAAACATACGGTGAACAGATGGGCTGCACGTAGGAATAGTTCAGGATGACGCCTGCCTGTGCGAGTCCGTCTAGGTGCGGCGTTTTCACGTGCGGATTGCCATTGAATCCGACATCATTCCAGCCTGCGCGGAAAGACATGCACAAAGCAATACGATGTCGAATCTGCTGCAGGTTCGCTCCACGTGCACCCGTGAAAATTACCCAGCGCCCAAATGCAGTGTGTGGGACTGCCATATACTTTTGGTATACACCGCTAGAAAGTATCCCTATTATTACCACACACGCTTGGGTGCACCACACCAGCAACATATTAGTCTTCAGGTTCACCTTATGTAGCACGTGCAAACCTTTGGGCTTCTCACTTGGAAAAGCCAAGCTGCTGAAAGAGTGGTGCAAGGTGACCATGTAATAGAACCGCATTAAAATGTAGGTTTGCAGCATACGGCAAACCGTAGTTATCGCTGACAACCGAGCAGCAGGCAAAAGCCACGCGCGTGGCTAGGCGCGCAACAATGGGGGTGTCAGTTTATCTTGTACTCAGCCTTGACACAATCGTATCTCGTGTCCGTAGTTCTCTCTCGCTTGTTGATGCAACGCTAAGTCATCCCTGCTAAAATTTACAGCTAGTAAAGTAATAACTATTCTTGTTCAGTCTTTTTTCCCCTACGTTGTGGCCTGTTTTACATCGTAACTTTTGAAGTTATTATTGTAGCATGAACACCTTGCTCTGCTTTGATGCTGTCTTGAATCGCGTATCAGATCGTGATCACGTCTTGCTAATCGCCATTTTTTTAAACATGCTCCTTTGACGAACAGTGACAGCATGAACGACGCGGCATCCCGCTTGCTTTTTGATAACAATGTCATGCATATTCTTCACTTCTTCTTTTTACGCGTTGCTTTAACACATACAGGAGTTGCGTGCTTGTGAGTGTGAGCATGGGGGATCAAGGGAGCATGCTGTAGAGCTCTACTCTAGGTTCCCCTCTCCTCAACTAGTGGTAGTGAGGAATTTGACTAAAACCAAAAACGGACCAAGGAGTTTACTTTTCTGGATCCGCGCAGCATACCGGCATCTTCAAGTCGTCCCAGTTTGGGTGCGGAGTAGGGTTTTTTGACGCATGCACACTGTGCCTCTTTCGGCACCTATCTAAATGGCCATATCCCACATTTGCTAGTACTCAATAGTGATTTGTTGCAAGCACCCTAAACATAGAGGATACGGATGAGAAAAGTAAAGAAGTAAAGGCTCAAAACATTTAAAAAAAATTCAAATTCCACATACATCTTCGACCAAGTTCAACAGCACGGTTCGAAAATCCGACGATAACTTTACTTGGCAACAGAACATTTCTCAAAAATCTTTATTTAAACAAATGGCGAGGAGACAAGAATTGGATAACAGCAATCAATAAACAAGCTGAATCGACATTTGTGTATACTTTACTCGTGCAATTTAAGAGCGACACTACGGCAATGAAAACTTCCACTGAAAACACGTTTTCATTGCCGTAGTGTCGCCCTTAGATTGCATGAATAATTGTAATTGATTGCATGAATAAAGTACATGTATACACAAAATTTAATGTCGATTCAGCTTGTCTTATTGATTGCGGTTATCAAAAATCTTTATTGATTCCTATGGGCTATTAATTCTCACCCAAGTCATCTGCCACGACGAAAAGAATGTGAGGGGGCTGTGGGGATGCTGATTGCTTGGACTTGCTCAGCAGTGTCCCAAGTGGACTGTTTTCCTGTGCTGTGGTATCTGCCGCACGCCAGGTAGCCCATTTCAACGGCACATCCACTGCGTTCAGATAGAACAAGCAACTAGCCATCGCCGCAGCGCAGATGCCAAGAAGAGCTCGGACGCCGGAGCATGCACGCAGTACACGCGATGTGTACTGGACGGAGCGGATCGCTTCACGGCTGCCCATCGCCACAGCAGCAATTTACTACGCCATATAATAGGTTTGATCAAAGTTGTGGCAGTTGAATCATTATCGCAGCCACGCGATGCCCGAGTTCAACGGGCCCACTGAGGGTGGCCCTGACTAAATTGGCTTCTTGTCAGCTTATCCAAGTCATACTCATAGCTACGGCTAGCATTTCACATCCATTTTACTCTCAAGCCATTGCTGAAAGTACATCATGCAAGTCATGGAGAACAACTGACTGCCGACAAGTCCGAATGCCATGAAAGAGAAGGGCGACAAAATACAGTCTGCGTTCTGCCAAAACTCAAAACTGCAAAAGAAATTACTTTAAAAAAAAAATTAATGTTCTGTGCACATGTGCTCTGTACTGCCCCTTTTTTTTGAAGCTGTAATCACCCAGGCATGATCTACCGGTACCGCGGTAGTACGGTACCACGCGGGTGCACATGTACGCGACGCGCGTATCGATCACTATGCACTGCATGCCGCACAGCTGTACACACTTTGCACAATATACGGTCACGTGATCCGAGACGGGGCATCCTCTTCGATTTTTATAATATGATTGTATCAGTTGTTGAGCATGGTGAAACAGTGTATTTTTCCATTTTGGAGATGGAGGAGAGAGTGTCGAGTGTTGTTGTTGTTGTTGTTTTTTTGCTTCGCAAGGCCAAACGGGCAATGGTGCCCAATTCTATGGAAGCGAATTTCAAAAGGGAGAAAGCTATGGGGAGAGAGAGAGAGAGAGAGAGAGAGAGAGAGAGAGAGAGAGAGAGAGAGAGAGAGGGGGGGGGGGGGGGGGAGGGAGGGAGGGAGATGATAAGCAATTTTGTAGCGTCAACAGAGCGATTTTGCAGTGTCAATAGAGCGATTTTGAAGCGTCAACAGAGGGAACACAAAGAGTTCATAAGCGCACAAGCACGCAGAGAAGAGTAAATGACGTGGTGTGTGGACGGGAAAAGTCAGACAGAGCATTCATTGCAAGGTGTAGGGGATGGAGGCAAGCTTAAATTGCTGGGCAGCCTTGATCTCCCTTACACTCCTTGGGAGAGCGTTCCAGGCCAAGGCTGCCTGAAAGGCCAGGCGAGACCTGCCGGCTTCTGACTGTGCCGAGGGGACAGTGAGGCCCCTGGAAACCTGGTGCCGGGTGGTGCTGCCAGCTGATGGTGAGAGTAGGTCCTGGAGGACACTGCTGGCTTTCCCATTGACACAGCGCCACACCAGGACGAGCCGCTTCTGGGCGTAGCACTCCCGAACTCTGTACAGGGACATCCGGTCGAGCAGAGGCTGAGCCGAGGTGTGAGGCGGCAAACCGTATACCGCTCTCGCCGCTCGGTTCTGCAGGACCTGAAGGCGATCAAGCTGCGAAACCTTGAGGGAGGAAGAGAAGGCGTTAGACCCATATAGGAGGTCAGGCATGATGACTGACCTCACATACTGGATGCGACTACTGAGGCTCAGACATCTGCGGGACCGCCACAATGCTCCAATCTTCTGCACAACTTTCTTCGCCATCGCGTCAACATGGGGGTCCCACTTCACAGCGGCGTCAAGGGTCACGCCGAGGTACCTTGCTGTTGGGCTCAGGGGAAGCTCTGTCTGGTTGCAGCGGACAGCGACATGCTGGTTTGCCATCGATGGCTGTGGCACCCGTGGACGAACTGTCAAATGAAGAATGGCCTGTGAAGGAACTGAACGTGAGTTTTCTGAACAATGAATGAGGGTGCGTATCTGTCTGGAAAAAGAAGGACGGTTGTTAGAGCGGTAAGTTTTCTTGGCAGGGCGTTCCGCGTCTTCGCAAAAGCAAGGATGAATATGCATACTGGAGAACAACTTAGAACAGAGAAAACAGCACTTCTTCTGTAAAGGTTTTTTTCACCTCCAAAGACGTTTGAGCTACCTTGACTACATGGATATCCTCATATATACCCTCCTTTTTGAAAATGTATGTCACCAATATAAGAAGGATTGGAACTTTTTAAACATGAATATCAACGGACTTGCCCCTTCGGTTCATGTCTTGCCCCGCTCTAGTAATGGTTCATGAATCCGCCCAGTCCACGTTCCTTCTCCGTTTCTCTTTCCTTCCAGTTGCATCTTCCTTTCTGCTCTGTTTCCCTTTCTCTTTTGTATTGTATTGCTTTTATTTTACATCGCGTCAAACGGGCAATCATGCCCAATGTTATGATGTTTTCGTTCGTCCCTCTTGATATTTGTACTTTGTACTAGCCCTTTCCCAAAGGTGCTCGCCCTTTTTTCGCCCTTTTTCGCCCTTTTTGGAAAAGCTCGTTTCTTTCGCCCTTTATTGCGTTTTTGGTGAATATCGCCCTTTTTGAGCTTTTTTAGCTGAAAAAGTGCTAAAATCTGTTTAGTTTGCTCATGCATGCGATCACAGTTTATTTATTATTATTATTATTATTATTGACTGGGTTTGAGGGAAAGAGACAAACGGGAAAAGTCTGAAGAAAAAATTGACTGTCACCACCAGATTATTATTATTATTATTATTATTATTATTAATAAAGAGAAATGGAGTGAGAAGAAACAACACCTATGAAAATGATAATCCTAGCACTAAGGTAATAACAGGAAAATTATTATTATTATTATTATTATAGACAACACCTCATGGCATGAGAAGAAAATCAGCCAGTACGGGAGAAGTGGGTGTTACCCAACCATGGTGAATAAAAGAAGAAAAGAAGAAAAGTAATGGTCAAGACGGAGCAGCATGGGAGGGACAGGTGATGGTGAATCTAGTGAGCAGATTTAAATGCGTCCAGGGTACTGGCATTGCGCGTAATAGCGGGCAGCGGAAGCCAAGCAGAGTAGGCAACAAAGAGTGGAGAGCGTACAAGGGAGGACGTTTTAGCTAAGGGGAGGGCAACAGAGCATCTTGTCTGGGAGCCATCTGTGATTCGGAACCAGTTATACACGCTAAGATGAGGAGGATGTAGAGCTAGTTTAAATTTGTGAGCAAAAGTGCAAATTAATTTTTGACGGTGGCTCGACAGTGGGTAAGCATTTGCAAGGACGTACAGGGAAGCAGAAGAGTAGAGAGGGGGTAGACTAAACAGGATACGAAGAAGTTTTCTATGGTGGATTTCGAGACGCTCAGCGAGAACCGAGGACCAGCCACACCAGCTAACAGCAGCGTACATGAAAAGAGGCAGGATGTACAGTTTGTAAAACAAAAATTTACATTTGACAGGAAGATGGAAACAATGGGGACGTATAACACCTAGGGCAGAGCTTGAACGGCTGCAAAGAGCAGCAATATGGTAAGACCAAGAGAGACGATCATCAAGCATTATTCCCAGGTGTTTTGGTTGGAAACAACCTTTATGGGTTCTGGGAAATCAGGATGGTGTAAAAGTGACATGGATGAGATTGGGGGAAGGAACATTATTTCGGTTTTAGTCAGGTTGGGTCTAAGTCGCCATGTTTGAATCCAGCGTAGGACACTGCATATCTGAGCCGACACTCGAGGTACAAGAGCCGCTGAGGACGAGGATGCTGACAGTAGGGTTGTATCATCAGCAAAATAACGAGACACCTGGGTCTATAGAGGGTAAATCATTTCACGTATGCTACGAACAAAAGAGGTCCAAGTATGGAGCCTTGGGGAACTCCAGAAGACACTGGTAGGGGCTCAGAGTTGATGGAGAGGGCAGAAACAAACTGTGATCGGCTACTCAGATAGGACTCCAGCCAGGACAGAGCAGGGCCAGACACACCAAAGACAATATGTAGGTTGGCAAGGAGGCCACGACGCCAGACAGTATCAAAGGCCTTTGCCAAGTCAAAGAAACACAGAGCAATATGGTGTCGAGCATCACGAAGTGTGGCAATGTCTTGTACTAGACGAAAAGCACTAAGTGCGAATTAAAAGAGCACCTTTGGGAAAGGGCTACTTTGTACTGTTGAGGCAACGAACTGAAATAATAAAACAAAACCAAACCAAACATGAAACAATCAAACGTACATGTACCAGAAAATTACCAAACTCTGCCAATTGTTCTGCTGGCAAAATTAATGTTTTAAGAAGCACCCGTGCAAATAGAATGACGAAAAAACATGCTGGCCGAACACGGGCAAGACTGCCATGAAGCACACTACACGGAAGGCACATCGGACGTCTGGTAGTAGTACATGTGCCACGACTCGGACCTCTGCCACTGGCCCACTGCTCATTGTCATTCACTGCATGATTCAGTGTTTTCAGAAGGTTTTGCGGAGTCGTGAGCCAGTCTAGTGTCAGGCAGAAGTTGGCTGGAAGGGTATGGCCGGTTGTATCGCGGAGTGCCACAGCAACTGCGCTCATGTCAAAGTCCGTGCAGGGACTACGGTAGTACTCAGTAGGCTGGCGTGGAAATGCACATCGTAGCAGGAAGACGCACGCGACGAAAACAGACATGCGCAGTTAAGCAGAACAGGTGCAATCAAGGGTTCCGATAAGCTCTGGAGCTCCCAGGAGCTTATTTACTCTTGCTACAATGAATAACTGCTACCCGTTTGTCACTGGTTGCATCAAGAACGGCTATGGACTCTTGGCTGTACAATCATGTACATGTACATGACACATGACATACATTGCATGTGTGTAGAATACTAATACCTGTATGAAGACTAATAACTATTAGTTATTATGATGGACAGCTGACAAAGCGCCGTGTGGGCAAAGACACAAAGACTTAAGTGACACCATGGTTGTCCGCGATGACGTCACAAAGTGACACCATGGTTGTCAGCGATGACGTCTACAAAACCAGCATAGCTATATAGGCGTACCGCAAGCAGAAAACCATCGACCTCCTACTAAGTCCTAGCTCCAAGGAGCCGAGTCGAGTCTGCCATCATATCACTACAATTTATTTGTTTTTAAAAATCAAGGCAAACAAGATAGTACGATTTCTAATCAGGCGACGACAATCTGTCAATCTAGACTGCACTGATAATTGCAGTGTTGTAAGTAGTAATTACCTCTCACGAGGCTCCGTGAAATTGAAACAAGAGCCTTCACTTCAGCGCCGCAGCAGAAGCGGGCGCTAGAAGGGTGTCATTTGTAGGAGTTTTACGGCGATTGCGACTTCGGCGGTATTAGTCATGAAGTTGGTAGCGTCTCTGTAGGCTTGTATCCTTGGTGATGGTTTGGCCTGGAGAGTAGTATATAAGTGGTGCTTTCCAGGCACAATCTTCCTCAGTCTACTCAAGCTCAACTAATGAGGGGTGAATTCCCCGAAACACTGTGTATTGAGCAGGGAGTGGTGCTTTCTTGCAGGTTTGCCGAGTGGAAGGT